AACATTAGAATCTTGCTATTTTATATAGTAATTATATTATTAGTTATATCAAAATATTATAATCTTTTTTTTTATATATCGATATTAGAAATTGTAAAAACGTGACATTATACCGTTTGACAGATTCCTGTAATCTGTGCACTTCAATTTTCACTTCCTCAAGATTGCTACATACTTCTGTATTGCTCTTTTTCGCTAGCTCCAACTTCCCTCTACACTCGTCATCCAACTTCTGCTCTGCAAGTTCCTTCTGCGCCGTCTCTAAATTTTGCTCTGTAAGTCAACATACGATATAAAGTTCTCGGCCTTCCATTTATGCAAAATTCTTTATTTTGAGATAAATTTTGGCCATAAATTATGGCTTTCGATGTTTGAGACTAAAGAAGTTTACATTGAGTTTCGAGTAAATAACGAAAGTATTGTTAGAAGAAACCTAAATTCGAGAAAGGTACATAAAAAGTGCCGGCATTTCAGAAGTGTTAATAAAACGAGCGTCCCTCAAATATTCGAAGCTGTTAAAAATTCAAAACGGCGCGTCCAGCTTACCCAAACATTTTCGGCTGGTCTCGAAAACCGCCTTGGCGGTCATAAACTTCTCGAACTTTGCATTAAAATGCGCATTGATTTTCCTCGTTAATTCTCTCGGGATTTGCGCCAGCTCCTCCTCACTCGCGATCTCGCGAAGAACGTTGGGCTCGCTCTCCTCGACCGCTTTCAAGTCTAATGTACAATGGTAATACCTTTTATAAATAACACAATTTTTAGGAAAATTTCGTTGCAGATGAACTATATCCAAGTGTGCACTTTTTGAATCTGCTGTTAAATTATGAACATCGTCGTAGTGTGGAGAGTACATGCTGTTAATTCTTTTTAACAGATTACTTAAACTCTCGTTAGGATTTCTAGGAAGGATCAAATCTGATGTACCGATAAGCATTACAGCACCCAGTTCTATATAAGATTCACGTGAACTCTTTTTAAATGTTAGTCTGAGCATTTTGGTTTTGAAGTCGCACGGATGCGATAACGGTGGAGAAAATAATCTTGATTTCGGGGGTACAATCTGAGACAATTCATCCCACAACTGAATCCAGTGATTATTGGAATCTTGAGCCGAAATTTGAATTACGTTTCCAGGATTATATATTTCGTAAATAGAGACTCTGACTGGATATACAGCTTCATGAAACTCGATATCTTAAAAATAGAAAATGTAATTATACTCTCTTCTCAACAAAAGCGTATCTTCTTTAACAATATCGATTCGAATATTACGTACCAATATAATTATTTTCGGTCGTCATATATAGGCCTTTTGTCCACTCTTCAATTGCCTCTGTCATGGAATCGGTGTGTTGCCACGGAGATATTGAAATATCGACCTTTCTCGACTATATTAGAAAATCGAAATGTGTCAAATAGAAAATCTTGTAACATAAATTTATAGATAGCGATTACTTTGTACAGGACAATAACAGATAATACCAGGAAATACACATACATTTATTTTTCCAAAAGAACATGGCGAATGAAATTTTTCGACATAATTTAAATCATCGGGTGGTCCAATTATGTCAGAGGCAGTATAGAATATGCTACGATTCTGGTTTCTTCTCGTGATAACAAATCTTTTCTTCACAAATTGATAAACAAAGTCAACACTACCCTCTTCTGCTACGGATACTCTGCCGATGTAGGGATATTGACTACAATCGCAATTTAAATATTTGTGGGTTGTCATATTTGTTTCTCTAAAAGAAGAAATAGTTATTTGTGTAACAAGTGCCGTAAAATGAAAATTCCCGAGTGCGGAGTTTACGCACGAGCCGAAGGTTTACACACCCTATTTTATGTTGCAAGTGCCTGGAAAGTGGTCTATCACGCACGCGTAGCGTGCGTAATGGGCCACTTTCCATGCACGTGCATGTTGCATAAAAAAATATGGAGAATATATAGTAATCCTTTCTTTTTTAGTATATGCTAAAATGCATTATAATATTATATATATTTATAATTATATAGCGTTAAGATTATATGTATAATCTAACAATAAATTTATTTTGCTTCCGAGAACTCGCATTGCTATTAGTACGACTGACATTATTACATAGTCTGCAATGCATGATGATGTGTATGTTAAATATTATTATTAAATAATTTATTATTTTAAAGAAAATAACAGTTATTTTTTAATTTTGTTAATGTAGAAAAATGTTCTTTTATAAATCTGAAATATCGGGAGCTCTCTGCACGTGGCGCACACGTGCACGAGCACAAAAAAAAGAACAAAAAAATTACACAATTTACGCTTAAGACTTACGCTTAATTTCTAAATGATACACGTTATAACATGTATCATTACCACGTGGTAGTGGTGTGTTTCACACGGTAGAAGAACATACGGCATACACACGTTCACGTACACCAAAGAAAAAAAATTGCAAAATTTAAATTGCTTATATGTTCGCTACACTTACGCTTACGTTTTTAAACGAATAAAATTTTTCCAAATATATTTTTTTATTTATTTAATGTATCTTTTATCTCATTTATTGATATAAGTTGTAGCGATCTAACAATAAGTCGCATAAAAAATCACACAGCGAATATATGTATATAAGAATTAATTATCTACCGGAAATTTAACTCGGAACTGAATCAAAAAATTAATCAGAAAAACTAATTGTAAATCTATCGATTTTCATACTACTTACTGTTTATCAGCAAAGCAATTTTGATTTTTTCCGTATAAAATGAAAAAATCATGCAAGAGAAGAAAAATGTTGGAACACGTGGTGAACACATACTATTGCCAGAGAGAATTAAACCTGAGATCGGCCATCCGGATCATTCTTCTTCTTCTTCTTTGCGCCCCTGGGCTGCGTTCGGAAACGTCACCCCGGAAACGTCTATCTCGCTGAGATAGAAAGAGAAAGGAGTATACTCGTGTGCACTCGGGTGACGTTTTCGAACGCAGCTCTGGTGGATCTCTGGCTCAACAGGCCATGGTACCACGCTTTCCATACAAGTCAGCGGGTCCAGTGGCGGGAAGCACTGGAGCCCTCTTGTATCATCCGGATCATTCCTAGGGATCCTTTATCGGAGGATCACGTTAATCGGAGACTGTGATATCGGCCCTTAGGGCTTAAAACACCTATATTGTAGATGGACACTTAAGCCTAGGTCTACAATGCGAGTCGTAAAGTCGTGAGTCGTAAGAATTGACCAATCACCAACGAATTTGAGGAGAATAATCGACTGTGATTGGTCAATTCTTACGACTCACGACTTTACGACTCGCATTGTAAATCTAGCATTATGCTAAAGGTGCGGCCCCATGGACTAATATTTTCCGCGTAAAGTCCGTATCAGACTACGGATTGGGATTGAGATTGGATTGAAATTTAATCAATCAGAACAGAGAAAACTGATCTCAGGTTTAGTAAACTTTGCTCTGATTGGTCAAATTTCAATCCAATCTCAATCCCAATCCGTAGTCTGATAAGGGGATAAACGCGTATCGCGTAATCATCAATCACAAGCGTGAATATGCGTCAAAAAATGCGAAACGCTCTTCTAATTGTTCCTACCTTATCGACATCAAAACTTTGAAATTAAATTTAAAAAAAACGAGACCTGAGCGACGATTTTCCTTCTCAGAATGTTTTTTACACACAGAAATAAACAATTTTACAAAGTTGTAAGAAAATCGGAGGGGAGAGCTTTATACTAAACATTTACCTTTATTATATATTATCTCCAAATTATTTATATCATAGAAAAAAATCATGCACAAGTAAGTCGAAAGATGTATATTCATAAAAATTAATTCTATCAGAAGGTAGTCTTATACCTTCAGTGTTATTTTAGGCGTTCTTAGTTTTCTGCAAGATTGTGCGGTTTGTTTTTGAACAAAGAAAATTAAATACAGAATACATTTTTCTACCTCGCAATTGTCACATTCGCGATTACGTGAAGGAACAAGATTGATTGACAAAAATCGAGCTTTAAAGGGTAGGGCAGAGCGCCGATGCAAATACAGATAGTCCGACCTCGCGACTTTTTTACACGGGATAAGCGAACGCGATAAAAAGAAAGCCTGGCGTTGATGGATGAGATCGGATTATCGACTTCTTCGATCCATAAAAAAATTTCGCCGATAGATAACCACGATGATCCAAAAAATGTCATTAGCAAAATTGTCGAAAAGGAAACACTTTTTGTTTAAAAAAAATCTAGAAAGACGGAAAAAGAGGTGTAAAATAGACGACACGAATTTTTTTGTCAAAGAGTACTATTATTGCAATTAGCGCGCATACGGCTGCGAACAGGATGACGGACTTAACGGCTTATAGAGTTGATTAACACGCAATCGGCACAGGTAAAAAGAAGGAATCTCTGGATAATTGTTAAGGCAGTTGTGTGCGAAGTTCGACAAATCATTCCTTTCTGGACGACCTGCCTATTTATCAATCGCAAGACAATTAATGACGAGTCCGTTCACGTCAATTAGACCGCAGTTACAAACGAAGTTTGATTATATGTACAACGTATATATTCTAAACATTGAAGCGGATCTCATTGAGTGAAATTAAAACAGGCAAAAAATATACAGCAAAGCGGACCGAAGGACTCCCTTTTGTAATCCTTCTTCTCCGCGTGTTCCAATTTACAAAAGATTTACAGTCGCGGGATATTCGTCCCAGTTCGTCGAGCGGAACTATATTTGTTAATATCAACTATAGAACAGCGAAGAATTAATCGCTGAATTCGTCTCTGCAATATGAAAACGAAGATCGCACATTTTCTACGTAAATGACAGGCGACAAACGTGATTATAAATATTGCAACATCTTGGGCGAGTACAAAATAGATGGAATTCCTATAGAATGAAGTATATTTACAATGTCGATATCAAAAAAGTACTCGTCCATCGCTTAAAATCGCATCCCAAAATTATATTCATATTAAGAATTATAATATATATAATTAAAATATGATATATAATTCTTAATATATATTTATCATTGAAAATTGTTATAAGCCAGTTTTTTTTCGTGAAATAGATAGAGGTATATCTTCAATGAAATATCTTTAACACAGCCGACGCTCATACTTCGCGAACGCGACACCAACATTAAATCTGCCAATTCGTCTTCGATAATATATTCCGCATCGTGTAATGTGTCACGAATGTCCATCGTGTCTAAAATGATAAAGGAAATATAAAAGAAAAAGACAAGGGATAGAATAAATAACACAATTTATTATACTCCCGGTTAAACAACACAATCGGCGGCGGCGCAAATAAAAATCGAGAATGTTAAAATAAAAACAGCGATAACGCGCAGTAGACTAACGTGTATCAGTAAAACAGTAATAAAATTTGTTATCTAGTAAAAGTAACATCTAGTAAAAGTAAGATGGTTCGAGATGGATTTGCGAAACGCAAATTCCACGTTTGGGATTATATCGGGTGATACAACGATTACCGGCGCAACTTGGAGCAAAGTTACACGCTCGAGACGTTCCTCGCTCGTGAGATCGTGAATCACGATCGATATCACGCAACGTATGAGCGTAAGCTTAAGCTAAAATCGGAGCGATAAGTTACAGGACGATAAATTACAGGAGCATTCGAAGGACACACGCACGCAGGACGCATTCTCTCTCTTTCTCGTATTTTTTCTCTCTCACTCTCTCTCCCTTTCTCACTCCCTTACAAAAATAAGTTGGACGGAACGGACAACGAGTATCCTCGTAATTTTTTTACCCCCGTTTCGAAGGCGATTAGGCCATCCGGTTGGAGGCTTGAGCTCCTCTTCCCTCGTCATTCCGCGAAAACGCTTGGCAGACTGCAATTGCAATTCGCGAAAGTCTATCCGTGTTAAGAGTGCTGTCAGATGGCTCTAAGCGTGAGCAAAGTGATTTCGTATCTCGCGACCCGAGGACAACGCGAAAATATCGAGAAGATGAATATGAGAATCTACCCGTATAAAAATAGAAAACAAATCTCCTTTCGCAGTTCTCGTCGTCAAATTCTTCGTTCGTGAAAAATAGTGAATTTTCTTTCAAACCTTAATAATTTAATTCGTTTTATATTTATCTCGAATTCTGTCCGTTTCCTTTGACTTCTGCTTTTTGCGCAGGGATTATTTTTCTAATTTATTCTAGCGTCACTAGTGAATCGAAACGATTCTATTTTCTTTAACATAACGATTTACATTTTCGTCGATTTATAACGGAAATTCTTTTCCAACGTGAAAAGTCGGGGCAGAACATGGTTGCGGAGGTATGTGGTAGCAACGCGCTGTACAAAAAAAGAAAAAAAAAAGAAATAACACGTGAGACGTAAAATTAACGAAAGAGTTGTACGCTTTATTACATAATACTTCGAGGCAACTGTTAAAGTTGTAATACCTATATCTCTTGGGCTTCGCCCTCTCATTTGTGCAACGCACGGTGTCCTTTTCCTCGAGGACGAGAAAACGCGAAAATGCAGGTCTTGCTATGCGGAGGACGATCGCACGATCGAGTATTGCACTATATGTAATAAATAATCCTCTATTGGCAGCAATATCAGGATCGCCTCTCGTTACGTTGGAAGGAAAAGCTGAACGATCGACTTAATTAACAGAAGACGTGATCGACTTAATTAACGATTTAAATAAAACATAGAATCAGCAGTAAAAGATTAACTATCACGACGACGATAACAAAAAAGAACAAGCACGCGAAGAGCGCCTCCAGCCACAATTATCTTGCCTCAATCTCTTCTAATTTATCACCTATTTTTAAATATTAAAAATTGTGATACGGAAAAAATCGTCGCGACAAGATTGAAAGGCAGCGAGTGACGTTAATCCTCGTCGCAAATTGAATTCCAAAAATATTTCGCGGAACAGATTTTCATTACGTTAGGCGGTTAGGACTCAGAACTACAAGAGCCACAGTTTGGCGCTAAATGCGCAGGAATATGACAAATAGTTCCATATAAAAAATACTTCCGCGATAAACACTATCTTGGATAATACTGATCCAATTTTCGTTGCAAGGCCGTGCGCGTAAAATATGAAAATCTACATTGCTCTTCTTTTACGTTGCAATACTATGAATGCAACGCTTTCAAATTAATACTGCTCGATCTTGTCGCGCAATCACCGCCTTTCAATTTGTCACGACGAAACACGGCGAAATCGCAAAACGGCAAAACGCAAAATGATCGCAAAACCAGACGAAAACTATCTTACAAAACAGGCGCGTATTGTCTCCAGGGATTTATTGTTGCTCCTCCATCTTCCGCGTGCTAATTAAAAATATTCATTCGGCGACAAAAATAGAGTATAAAAAATTGTTTGAAAATCCTTAAAAATGCACCTTTATATGGTGCGTATATAATAGCGGCACCGCATCGACGCTTCATCAACGACACGTTTTTGTATTTAACTCTGTGAAATATTAGGCAATCACAAAACGTCGGGACAAAATGCAGTTCATGATGTCACGGGCGCTATTGTAAAAAAAATAATTTAAACGTGAATATAAAAAACGAACGTTCGTCGATACGCGCTTTTCCCGTTCCAATTCTCGACCCTTTCCGTTCTTCTAGGCGCGTACAAGCTCTCACTTAGGCCCTCTCGCATCTTACATTTTACGATTTTGTCTCTCCGTGGGGTCAAGGTATCTACGTTAGGATTGTTTTATTAGTAAACGGACGTAAATACCTCTTGCAAAAATACAATCTCTCTCATACGCTAAGAAAGGTCCGTTACATGCTACGTTACACTTCGTTATTCGCTTAGTCGCATTAATTATCGTCTCCACGGACTTTAGACTGATTCCAGCCGAAATGTTCGATAATAGTGTGTGACCTGTGGCAAGAAAGGCGCAAAACATCGTTCAGCGAGACTTTATTTTGTGCTGCCCGAACGAATCGACGCTCGTTCGGAACATTTCCCAGCTAATTTCTATCTGCGAATCGGAAATCGGTATACTGATGCATCGGGATTTGGCGAATCCATTTCTTATTCTTGTTTAGTTATTGCTTTGTTTTTAGAATTAAAGATCTTGTTAATTGACGCGCGTAGAGATACGAATACTCCCAATAGAAAAAGCGCGTTTAATTTTAATACTTTTCTCACGCGGGTCATTCCACTTAATTTAATTTGTTCTTTAAAGACTCCGATATGTGCTTTTATTGTTTTAAAAATATCATGTTAATAACATGAATATATTCCTAGACTTCCTAACAACAATTCAAACTTAACCGATTTCGACTTAAAAAGATCAGAGAGAAAAAATCCTAAAAATATCTTTAAAGAACCATGGTTTTTTTAAACTGATAAAATTGATTTAATCCTGATGTTTCAGTATAATATTAGATATGTTTGGCGACAATGTGTCTTTCCTCGCTTTCACCCGCCTCTCATTTAACTCCGCAAACTTTTCTTCATTTAGATTTCTTTCCTTGCCTTCACTGACGCTCCCTCTTTCTTTTTTTTTCATCTATGATGACTTGTTACCGTTCAGCAACTAAGTAACGAACGTCTCGCAATTTTGTTCACTTTCTTTGAGAATCGGTGCGCGACTGCGGAGATGACAACGACAAGGAGAAGGTGATGGCAAGTGGATCGACCGAGGACGACGGAAGAAATCGACAGCAGTAGGAAACTTCACGAGCCACGTATTTTCACGAACGTTTCCTCAACGGTATATCGTGATCTTGTTGCTACTCCTCGACAGAGTTTGTCTCGCTTCCATTTGGCGGCCACAACGCGGCCTTCGTTTCGTCACTGCTGGGCCGATGATCATCGGGAGGAAACCGACGTCGGTCGTCGACCGACGATACTGGCGGTCGAATTCACGAGGGTCTCAGACAACGCCGCTCTCGAGGTCACTCGAGGCTCCTGATGAGCACGGCCAGTTCGCGGAACGAGGCGCCGAGTTTGCCGGGCGTCGATTGCTTCTTTAGCAGGACTGCCCGTATCGCCGAAAGCTTCTCGTAGCAGGAAAGGCACTTGTGATACCTGGAAAGAGAAGAAGAGAAACCGCTCGTTAAGTTTCCGCGCCGAAGACAGAGTGACAACGATGTTACCTCGCATTCAGAAAATATTATCTTATTTTTCTTAGCATTATTAAGTATAATACGATACTTGAGTATATTTTCTTCTCGCTAATAAAATCAGGGGAAGCAAATTATTCGAACAAAAATACCTAGATATCTAGCATAGTAAAATATATAGTAAAGAACTCACCGTTCCTCTCGCGACACGTCGACGCCGATTGTGTGAAGGGGTGCCTCCACATTGGACTTTATCACTGGGGCGAAATTACGAAGAATAAGTCTCAATGCCGAGCAAGCTACAGTTATATACCTGAAACAAACAATTTTGGCAAAATATAATATATTTAATAATAATAGATAAATTATATATATCATACGGATTAATCTTAAATTTTCAAGATTATTTATACACATGCAGATTGAAGAACAATATTTTTGCGTCTAATTAATCCAATTAAACTTATTAAATTTGATCAAATGATTTATCACTTGTGTCTACCTATATGTCTCTGTTAAAACTTGAAATACGTCTAACATTAAAACAAATTATATATAAACTATAAATGAACTGAGAAATAAATTACGTAATAAATTAATTATATGTATATATTACATATATTTCAGCTATTTTAATTATAAGAAATGAATGAAACGAGCGAGATTCCATATTATGCAATTTATAACTCGTTCGTCTAGGAATAACTTGGGCGTTCAGGATAAAAACAATCGTGGAATGAGAATGGAAGCCCGTCTCCCAACATTGGTCTGGTCACGCCTGGTCCGTTCGGTAAAACGGGCGTTATTAGGCCTGCTAACGACGCCAATAAATAACGAAAGGCACGGAAGGCTTGCCTGCACGATTCAGCACGCTCTCGCTTTCGGACGGACGGGCGATAAAGGGTTCGAGCTCCCGTTTGAATCGGCGAGACGAATCGCAAACGGTCTCATGAATGCAACGCGCGCGACGCCGATCGACAATACCCCGTGTAATGCACCGTACACCAGTTACGGCAATTCAAATTTTATGCAATTTGTAACAAAATGTGAAACCGATACGAGAATAGTCGAGTAGGCCTCGAGACAAGCGTCTTTTCATGGACTTTTCAAGTAAAATCACCTAATATTTAAAATAATAATTAATTGATTTAGATATAATAATTTAAGCATCGTTGAATATAAAAAAAAATAATTTTTTAATCCTTCTTCTTCTTGAGAATAAAATAGGGAAATAAGTTCCTAGCTGCAGAATCTCATTAACTTAAATTTCGCAATATTCTTTATGAGCTCAATAATCCTCCTATACTTTGCCAAATAATTTCCAACGTTTTACATCAGCAAGAAACGCGTTTTCTTTTCGGAATCAGCGGTGATCTATATAGGGATGGAGATAGGCGTTGAAGGGGGTGCGAGAAGCGATCGCGAAATTGGAAAACGATCGGGCGGGGCGCGAGCCCTTCCCCTGACACGTGACACGCGTCTAGACATTCTGGCCGACGATCCCTTTTTTTTTCTCACGAAGCATCGGGTCCAGGACGAAAAGCCGCGACGAACGAGCCGTGAAAATGAGCGAGCAAACGACTATATGCAAACCGCCACTTTACATAATAAGTCGTCCAAGATGTGTATATTTGTCACCGCGTTGTCAATTTCACAGTACAAAATGCTATCGCTCCTCGAAATGTGCGAATCCAACAAACAAACATACCGAGTTTTCCTTGTTTCCGTTTTGCTATATATTCTACTGTGTGTATCTTAGAAATATTTTTTCACTAAAATAACAATTTTCAGAATTGATTATTCCTGCATGATAATTAGATGGAAAATTATGTTAAGAATAATTTTTTTCACGTTAAATACTGAAATAATTAAGTAGTAAAGTAGTCGTAAAAATTTTCAGATAAAGACTAACAATAAGTTAACAAGATAATATATCCCATTGTTAAAGCTTATACAATTATATTGCATAAACTTATTATATATTATAAACTTATTACGATTATGTATATATATATATATTAAATATAATTATATAATTTCCGAGCAGAGAATGGCAGGTACTAACAAATGGCTCGACGACCTCGCTATTACGAGTGACTGCGAACGACAGCTGCTGAGCGGCGGATAATTAGTTTGAATTCACTTTTCACGGTATTAAATACATACGCGCGGGATGCTAATACGCGACTGCTATTAACCGGTTCACTGAAATTACTCCAGGCAATCGGCACGAGTGGTCCAATTAACACAACAGCTTATTTTCTGAAATCAAACTGTCGCAGAAGTCTTTTCTTTTTTTTTTAATAGTCTAAAGATATTTGCAAACTAGAAATTATAAAAAATTCTTTCAGATATAATCTCAAGTTCTCGGAAAAATTTAAATTACAATTAGCAAGACAATATACAGGGTGATAATTGAGAAGTTACTCAAACTAAATTACTGTTATTTTGTAATGATGAGCGAACACAATGAGACAAATTAAACCTAACGTTATACTGTATAATTACCCGCTGTGTAACAAATACATATACAACTTGACAGGAGAAGACAAGGGTCCCAAGATAGATGGAAAGAGAAGAAACGGGAAACTCGTTAGAGCATTTGGTGTTCGATCGAAGCCTAATTTTGGGGAAACCCTTACAGGTTCATCGGAAGTTGCACGACCGATCTGCTGCTCGATACGACTAATTAATCGTTAAATCAATATAAAAATGATTTGCGGTCCGATCGGATCGAGATTGCAGGTGTAAAAAATTGATTGTAGCATAAGAAGATTGTAGCGTCAATTTTTCTGACAAAAAATAAAAATTTGTGAGAAATATTATTATTCGCTAATAATAAAATACAATAAAAATCTAATGATATATATTTATATATTATAATAAATTTAAAAATATATAATTAACAAGTATGTAAAATTAGTCAGATCAAAATAATGCCATGCTAACTTTTTAAATAGAGATAAATAAACCAGATAAATAAACTAACTTCTATATAAAATATTTTGATGAAAATTTAACGCAAAATTAAATTATAATTAGGCTTCTAAAATCCACATGAGTGATCGCAGATCATTATATATCCTGATAATGAGAGGGCAGATTCTTGCGAGGCAACACGTGCGCGAGGAATAAAGGCTGAGGGTGAGTAATGGTAGCCCACAATAAAACGCGGAAGGAAACAGTCGTTCTTCGTCACGACAAAGCAACAGCTTGGAACTGAGGGCAGTCGGTTAATCGCCCACTTTCGTACGTCAAACGAACGTAAAAGACAAGCCCCCTCCTCCTCACTCGGATTTATAGTCGAATGGTCAGGAAGTGGCGCGTATCTGACGAGAAACCGTTTAAATTTGTAGTTATGGGACGTAACGGTAATATAAAACTTTACCTCGAATGAAATATCTCCCTTTGCTAAACGTAGTTATGATAAAACTTTTATCATTACTTCAATAATAGACCGCTCGGCGTACATCGTCGCGAAGAAAAAGTCAGCTGCTCTAATCTTTCTAGTTCAAATAATTTCCCAGATCTAGGAACCTAAATTTACGAAATTTTCTAGATTCAAAGTCTTTTTCTAAATTTTAGAAAATTTCGTATTATAAAAAATTTCTTTCTCTAGACTTGCTCATCTGAATTTTGTTACGCGTTATTCCCTCGACGTGCGTCTAACTCTCGACAAATTTTGATCGGTGACGACAGTTCGGTGTTGAAGATGACACTTGGTCGTCCTGTCCACTGTCATCGCGCTGTGCCGGCATATGCGAGCGTGGCGGCACTTCAGATTTCAATTCGTTTCGCGAACAATATAACATGGCGAGCGACACGGAGGATCGGATCCGTCGTCTCGTCGAATTTGCATCTGCCGCTATCTCCCATTGTCTCGGCTAATTTCGCACACCGCCCTAACGCTCGCCTCGGATTTCCCCGCTTCAGCAAATTAGCCATTCCCATAGTGCGGCCCCGGACCTCGCAGCACCCCCTTCTAACACGAGGGACGCGAGAGAAACCCTCTCGGAAGGGGTGTCTCCATTTTCCAATACACAAATGCCGCGCGGAACATTTCGCCATTGAAGGTGAAGTAATCTTAGTCGATAATAGATGCAAAGCGTGCCGCGAAGAGCGATGCATATTCACCGTGTCATCTCTAAATATACACGCGTGATGCGACAATGAGACGCAGACGCGCATTGCAATCGGACGAGAATGCAAATGTGACACTAATTGTGAAGCAAATCGATCTGGAAACACGGCGAACTTGCAAGAAATATTCCGACAAAAGAAATAAGACTACATTAAAAAAAAAAAAACGATACACATCACTTGCAAAATAATTAAGTTCAGCTATAAACGATAGTAACGCGATAGATTAATTCGAGGACATCGGTATGTTTCTTAGGAAATATTAATAAGAAAATGTAAAGCAGAATATTTCATACTTACATCTCATATTTACTCTGAAAGAGATCGCTGATGGGACCCAATAAGGAATTGCACAGGTCCAAGTTCCACATCGCTCTGCGAACAGAAATAAAAAGAGACAATTATAAAACCAAATACTCGCCATGTTAACTGAAATTACTGGATTGATAAGGCTACATACGGTTTTAATGTGATAATACCCAGAAGATCCACGATGACCGCCAGGTCATTCATCGCGACTGCAGATTCCACCGCGGCCTGAAATCAATATTACATTTACATTTTTTTCCCTTAACGAGCTCGTACGTTTCTACGCAGAGTCAGATGGACGACTACCTTAAGATCTTTATTGTGCCAGAGTGAATATATTATTTGTAATGAGCGATGCCGACTCTTAAGTACCGCCATCATCGAATCGTGGCTGCGCATCATACTGTTCAAAACCTCGGCCTCAGACATTTCCGTCAGTACGCCCATCTGAGGATAGCCCAACGCCGTAGAACCGGTGTAACTATGCTATAAAACATAAATAAAAGAATTAAAGTTTAAGAACTTTCTAACTCTATATAAAGTAGAGAATTTATTATTAATTTTGTAAATTCGCACGAATTTGTGGAAATGACAGGATTACCTACCGGTAAGAAATTTTCCACGTCCAAGCCGTAAGGCTTGTCGGCACTCATCGGTACCAATTCCTCCTTCTCTGCATCTTCGACGTTGGTCCTTATCTGCGAGACGCGTATGTCAACCTTGGGATTCGGTGGGACTTGAGCCTTATTAAGTAGCTTCCTTGTAGACGTGGTTGTGGAGGCGTTACGCGCCGACAGCGCGGTTGAGGTAACAAAATTTCGGTTGAGCGACGTCGACCTCGACTGCGCTGTGTTCGGCCTGTTCAACGCAGGATCCGAGGGACTATGTCTTATATTATTAATTCTGCAATAGAGAAGCCATCTTGAGTCACATAATCGTTATAGAATACAACGATTTTCTAGTACAATTAACTTTCAATCTTAACTAATTAATTTTATAAGCATTATGATAAATATATTCTACATTTTTCAGTAAAAAAAATTATTTATTTTTAAAGATTGCAATCTGAGAAAAACATTTACGCCTGGTTAAGAAATGTAACTTGGTAAACATTTATATTGCGCTCATTGATATTTACGATTTAATTTATTTCCCATAATTTGTATATTTAAAGAGAATATATCTTTATTGTCATTATTATTACAATAAAGCAATAGCAATAGAGGTACTTACTGTACAGGATAGTCGCTTTCGTATCCCTGCTCCCCGTCCCTGCTGCTCTGCCTCTTTAGGAAGTGCTTCGGAGAATCTGGGCTGGGTACTCTGTTCTTCAACTTGCCGTCGTCCATCACAGGAATTACCGCGGCCATCGGCGCAACACGCGGTGTCAGAGTTGAGTTCGACCTTTGCGGTCCTAAGGGATGAGTCGGTGCCGTCAGCGTTTGTTCGTTAGCGGCCACCCTTTTCCCTGGAAGTGGCGTGATGTTCTGCCGCAACGGCGGTATTGATGCGAAATTTTTGGACGCTCGTTGATTCAGACCATTGTTCGCCTGTAGATTCGCCCTGATTTGGCTCGTCGACGTGATCGTGTTCCTCTGTACCGGTGGCGAGGACTTGATCGGCTGAACACGCACCGGTACCGGCTTTGTCACGGATAACGTGGGTGCCGGTGGAGACGGCGAAGAGGGGGATGGCATCGACGGCACCTCCTCGCGCTCCATCGTGTTCAGGTTCAGGTTCGACATTGAGGTAGAGAGATTTTGCAGTATCTGCGGCTGCGCCGGATCTATAATAGATTGACAATCTACTATATTCGTCCTTTTTTTCTAAGAGAACTTATTTAAGAATCTTTTAGAAGTAAAATAATAGTAATCACTCAAAGAACAAAAATCTAAGAAAAGATTGCGCTCGCCTAATTAAAACTATTAGATTTGCAAATTAAATTTATAAATAAAAAAGACTTCTCTACATATTATTCAACTTTGTTGAAATTCGTATTTTAGCATGCATCATACCAAGATTTGAATTGAATATCTTATACTATATTAATATTTGATACATTGGAAAGATTCCAATGCCGTTGTAGCAAAAATTTCGTTCCAAAACTTAAATGATAATTTAGTAAAACGCAATCCGTGCAAAGGTTATTGAAACTCACCTATGTCATGAGGCTCCTGGAAAGCCTCGAGGGATTCAGGAGGTGGTGTGCGAGACACTGCAACATATCATGCGCGGCATGCTCATTCACAAACTATACAGCGTTTGCATTCACATTTAGACGTGTTTGATATGTCGTGTGTGCGTTCGCGAGGTGATTGCGAGGAATTGGGTTAGATGTTAGACTGGAATTTTTGTCACACACACACGCACACTCGGTGAACAATGAGACATTACAAGGCGGATGTAGCAAATCACTTACACGCCCTACTCGGCTGAAAAATGTCCCTATACTCTGTTGTTACGTTGGGTATGTCCGCGTAAGTGGTCTCGTCCTCCGGATCGGTGCCAGATTTATCCGCCTCTTCTATCGTTCGTACGTCCAATCTGTAAATGCGTACATATGCACGTTACGGCGATCAATGTTAGAAATCTGGCGTTAAAATTAAATTCGCAGAGAGAAAAAAACCTACGTATGTTTCTTCAACCCGATCGGTCGTTCCCTGGAGAAGCTCTTTCTCAGAGAATTTCCATGACTGAACGGCGAGCTCACAGCGGATATTCCTCCCAGAGGTGCGATTTTTTTCAAATCGCACACGTACAGAACGACATTCGCGGTATGAAAACTCGCGCCGATCTGAAACAATTTTATGTCTTAACAAAAACGACACCGAATGAACATATTCGAGAGTTTAAAACCTAGCGTTTCGTCCTACCAATTGATTTTGAGCTACGGCTATGTCCTGGACTTTTCCCCAGCCGGTCGGTATCGTATCCAGGGTCCTACCCGGTTCCCAGCCGTAAACCTTTAAAACGTCGTGGCTACCGGCGAACAGGCATTCTCCGCCTTGACTAAAATACAGGCACCTAAAACAGCGCAATAACGAAAAAAAATTAGCATGGTGATCGGGGACGATACATTTTGTAGGATTATCGTTGTTCTGGCTCACCGGATGGCCGAAGAATGACTCTGTTCCGTGGAAGATACGAGCTGAAACGACTCTAAGTCCCAGAAGTGGACCGTTCTGTCGGCGCTACCGCTGGCTAATAGGAATTCGTGCGGATGAAATTCGACAGTTGTGGCCGGCCCTCTGTGTTCTGAAAATTCCCTTAGTTGTCTACCGGCCTTTAGGTCCCACAGCTAATTTAAAAGTAACATGAAGATCAATGTTTTTTATCTCACATATAAAAATAGCATAGAACAAAAGAATAAAAATGTTGTAATATACAAGATGATAAGAATGCTTAACGGTAAGATAAGACGTGATAAAAATACATTTTCCTTTCGATACAATTCTAGGAAAGAATTCTGACTCACCTTGACCATTCCTTCCTCCCCAGCGCTGGCGATCCACTGCCCATCGGGACTGAATTTTAAACTATTCACAGTCATGTTGTGCCCCTTATACGTAAAAATGCAGCCTTTCCTACGGATATCCCACAGTTTAATCGCCGTGTCCAAACTCCCAGACGCTAGTAGCTCCCCGTAAGGATGGAAGTCCATGCAACGTATCCCGGATTTATGTCCCGTCAACGTTCGCGCCAGCTTGGCGTGCTCCAAGTCCCAAATCTTCAGTGCGCCAGTCTGCGAGCCAGCGCATACGAGATCTTCCGTTTGACCGAAGCGGACGCATCCTATGGGAGTGGTATGGCCACTCAGGCTCTAAAAAAAAAAAAAAAGACGAGGAGCATGAATCTCATAATAGTTTCAATCTGAATTGAATAACAAATTTGAATTTAATAACAATGTTCAAGGTACTTGATGTTCAGAGCTTTCTCTTAAAGTAGTACCTTATATAAAATTATATAGAGATAAGTATTTGTCGTACAAATCGTCTGTATTTAATGTTGAATTCGGCAAACGAAAACGACATTATATTGCGTAACAATTACCATAATACAGTTCTGCTTCCCGACGGCCCATAGGTTCACCTTTTTATCGTCACCGCCCGTGACCAGAACACGACCCGACTTGTGGCCTAGCGCCAAGCAATTGACGTTCGGCGTATGAGCGACGAATTCCTCTGTGCCAGAAAAAGAAGCGCATACATTTCACGTCCATTTCACGTATGCACGCTAGTTTATCCGTGTTGACGCGATGAAAGAAATGCGATATAAAAGTTATCATCTCTTATATCGCATATTTTGCGTCACATTAACATAAATAAAACAAACAAATATAAATCTATCGTTTTCATCAATGTCCATTTATCTGGGAACATGGAGATTATATAATTTCCTTTTTTAATTTATGTCAGAGAAAAAAATTAATTTGCTCAACTACAAAAAATATCGTCCATTTACCAACAAATAAGAATTATCTGAGCCACTCAGAAGCCAAACTGATAAGTCCACTTCTTGTAAATTTCTTGATTTCATTACCAGAACAAATTATAACTTCTTATCAATTATCTTTATTCCTGATTTCATAGAATCGATTAATTTAGCTTCTGGGAGACTCAACTGAGGCTTGGGAAACCAGGGGCATGAGAAGTCTCTCCTTAAAGAATCGGTAATTCAATGTCAACCTCTGTTCTTCCAAGTAGCTTTCTAGGCTAAATGCCAAATCATCAATAAGTGAGTTACGACCATAATTGGAAAATGTTAATTTGGAGCTGAATATATATAAACAGAAACTTTCATTCAAATTAAAGAATTAAAGAGACACAATCTTATTTTCATCAAGTATCAATTCAATACCCTTCTCTGCATTATATTAAATAAAAATAGAATTGTCATTCCTACAACAAGCTATTCATTCGTAAAAACAGGTAAGAAACTCTCTTTCCGTTACAATCCAGCTCCTGCCACCGTGGGAGAAGTGACTTCTCATTCTCGCCGCGGGACAAATTCCCGGATTGAGCCAGATGTAACCATAATTGGAAGAAACCGCGAGCCAAGTGCGCGAGTAAACAGAGACTGTTTACCCGCGGGGACCTCGTGGAAAAGCAGGATTCTCGTCGCGGAGGAGGGAACGGAGAGAGAAAGAGCGACACGGAGGGGAAGGACAGGACGGGAGGAGAAAAAGAGAGCGTGAGAGCGTGAGAGAGCGTGAGAGATCACGCGCGCGCGCGCGCTCGCGCGTGTCAGGACACGTTTTTCCCCATGAACGACGATCTTACGGAGCTTCCAGGACCTCCTCGTGGACGAGGCCATATTCGCGCCGCGCGCGCGGACTTATTTGGCAGCGACGGCGGTCCGTGGTCCCGGTTGGCGCACGACGTGCGTTCTCCTCTCGCTGCCGCCGTTGCGCGAACGTAACATGTTTACCAGCAGCAACGGCAACAGCCTCCTCTTCTCGCGCGGCGGCCTTCTTCTCCTCTTGCCTTCCGCGACCGGGGCACCCGCGGCGCGTGGCGTCGCGCAACGTCGTCACGTCGTGTCGCGTCGCGTCGCGTCGCCGTGGTCGTCGCTCCCCCGCCGCACCGGGGTGAGAACGTGGAAAAAGAAACGCGACGCTGTCTGGTCGCGAGAGCGCGGACAAACGCTCGCCTCTCTCACTCGGGAAACTGCCAGTGCCTTGAGTGCCACCTCCTCCGCGCAGCCGTCCGGTATCGGTATCTCATCTCTTGAACCTGTCACTATTCTGTCCGTCTCTCTCTCTTTCTCTCTCTCTCTCGCTCTATGTGCGCAAGAGAGGGTCGCGTGGTGACGTTGCGTCTCCTCGTCAGATGACAGCAGTTCGCGTTATCGACCGGCTACAAGGCGAACCGACCGCAGTTACCGACCGTCGTTTCTAACCTCCTCTTTGACTGCAAAAACTAACCTAAAATTAGGACTCGCTGATTATAAGACTGGATTGTGTTGCACTTTTTATGTCAAAATGCGAAATACGTGATTGAAAAGATAAATTTGCCGATAAACAAAGCGAATTTGTATAATTCAGCAAAATTACGACGGAACTATGACATGGACAGGCGATACTTGCGAGATTTGATGTTTGATGAGCTCGCAGATTCTTACATATACATATAATTTTATCAATATATATAAAAAAATTTAACTTGTTTATTATGTACAATTGATTCAACGCGACGTAAGGTGATGTCAAACTGTGATAGAGACGCAGCTTTAGGTAATGATTTACGAATTCATTTACACAACACACGCGTCATTGGAAGCAATATTTTCTAATTATATCTACGTTACTTTAAAAAAATTTTAGTAGGTCTACTTTAAAAGAGAGCTCGAAGTCCCCTTGGTTATATCGCGATCTAATTCCAAGTTATTGAATTCATATCCATTGAAATGACGTCGATATTTTGTATACGCACTGGCTTTGCGATAAGCCGAAGACTTCCTTCGCCCAGGACTCCCAAGGGAAGTTATGTGACGTATATTCAGGGTCAATCTCCTCAGCCCCGTGTACGAGAGTACTTCTATTACGTCGACCATCAAGGCATGGTATTTTTCGTTTTATCTGCTGGTTAAGCTTCAGCTCCTGTCATTAATAAGTGAACAAACGTCTTACGAATAACTTCATAAAATCTGTTACAGTTGTTCCTGGATGACGTTCGCATAAGGAACTTTACCTCTTGCTTTAAAGGTATGTAACAGTATTTACATTAACTGAAGAAGCATCTCGTTCATATGTCGAATTTATCGTAGATAAAAAATTCCTGGCGTTCTTTTTCAAACACCTGAGGAAAAATACTACCGGACGTTACACGGACGACTTTCCGTTCCTGTCAGTCTGCGGCGTGGAGAGAAACTTTGTCAGATGCGACGACTTGCCGTTGGTCTTTACAAAGGTGATTCGGAAACGTAACGTGGAAACTGGCGCGGAAGAGGACTGGTTCAGTTACGCGCACGCAGACGACTTATTGACGGTAATTCCGCAGAAGCTATATAAAATAAAATTATCATGTCAGCAGTTTTACTGATAGCACAATCACCGTCGAATTTGCCGTAGGTGCCGTTCGAGCCGCAAAGATTATTTATGAACATAAAAACAGGAAGAGTGTATCACCCTGCGACGGAGAAAGCGGGTGGGATCGGCTTGGTGAGGTCCAATCTGGCTATCGAATTCAGCACCTCGTTCAACTTTGAAAACGGCGAGGGAAATGCGCCGACACATTTCGTGTGGAGAGACAAGCGATACCAGCTTGACACGGAATGGTACAGAGACAAGTTGTCATGAATAATTAGACGAAAATAATGAAACTTTATTCTTAATTTAAGTATAAGCAGATTACGCAACATAGAAAAGTGATTCTCCGATGATCTGGAGATGAACGTATTATTTAATTTCAACATATTCCTCTTTTCTATAGTTTTACCAGAGATATATATTTTGTGTAAATCATACTTTTGTAAATATACGTAAATTTATACATATGTCTATATACATAAGTCCTTGAATATTTTAATGGTCTATATTTCGCGTCACATTAACATACTGTCGAAATGTCAAAGATCCTGGCGGTACTATCGTCGGAAACCGTCAATGCTTTTTTCTCGTCACTGAAAAATTACAAAATATATTGGTAAATACCGCAGAAGATATCAAATGTATTTCATAAACAAGAATTTGATATTTCGCAAATAGAATGACGCCACATCCTCAAAATGTCATCAAAGATCAGAACATTCATTTATCAGAACGTTTAATTGCTCGAGAATGTAATGCAAAATAATCGAAACTTATTTAAATTTGTGATTGGTATGGATATTCTCCGATACACACACACACACACACATTACGATAGCTGTTCGAATTTAAATAGAAAAGACGTTTATTTTTTGGCACAAGTATTATCGAAACTAATATATGACTAATCGAAATTAACCTATCCAGAATCTTTCCGATAATAGTTCTATTTTCTCCTTCTTTCGAGATTAATTAGTACATCAATTTGCTTGCTAATAAATAAAAGGTTTACCTGGATATACATAAGTCATATAAAGCCGCTTTGTGTCCTGAGAACTGTCGAAGGCATTCACCCGCTCTAGCGTCAAAACATCTTACTTTACCATCTAATCCTGCTGTAAACAATATCGTCTTAATCCAAACCAATTTTGTGATACCTCCTTCCTGTTCCATCTCGTGCCTAAGAATCTGAAGGGGATTGCAACTTAGAACAGCTTGTCGTTTGTATTCGAAGGAAAACTTTAGATACAAATATAAAGAGGCATACTTGTTTAGAAATATCCCATATGTAAATTTTTCCTTGTATATCGCTCATGACTGTACCAGTTGCAGCAGCAGGGAATGTAGGATCTTTACAGAAAGCTGCGGTTTCTACATTATTCGTATTATTGCCAGCTTCATTTCTATTCAAATCCTGAAGTATACAAATTACCTGAAAAATAATACGATATTACGCGTTATTCTTAAACGATAAATCGGGATGCCGATGTAGCTTCGCGCGAGAGCGGCGAACTCGTAGTTAGTGAATCTCGAGAGTTCAATTCCTCATCCCATATACAGATTTTACATTTCGCAAAATTACTCCAAGATAAGGTGCGATGCTGACAACCTCACCTTAATTGAGAAGCCTTCGGGAGGCCAAGAATTTGGGCTGTAGCACCATCGGTTTAAGTTAGAAATCGGTAATTGGCAATAATCTTGAATAATCGAGCACTACTTCAATCTTTATATAGGCAACACCAAAAGCCTATACAATTTTATCAGAAATCATCTTTCTTCAAGTACAAAAAATGTAGGAGAAAACAAAAACAATGGTACTACTTTTCCTATGTATATTGAAGAAAATTTACAGAAGTTTCCCTTACCTTGCCGTTATGCGCTGTGCTTAATATGGTCTGGCTCTGCAGCGACACCGAAATCAACAGATTATTATCCACGTGACAGTCAATAGCGATGATAGCGCTTGCATGTCCGCGTGATCGTGTTTGGTCACGAGGAGTGGTAGACAATACGGTGTTGGACTTCAAATCTATTACGTGAATTGTGCCACTTTGATATCCTATTGCGGCACGTTTCCCTGTAAGATTTACACTAGATTTAGATTGTTCTGTTCTTTTAAGGAAATTTAAAGAGTATATATTATCGTACCATCCGGAAGAATTACTCCGGTCTCCGATCTATCACCGGTACCGTGTGCAAAGACTTTACAATCATCATTTCGTGTCTTCAACATATAAACCTCCCCCGTTACGACACCTGCTATTAAGACGTCGCTGAAATGGTGCCACTTTATCCACTAGACAAAAAATAATTATTGATAAACCTACTGTAAATGATTATGCTTAAATCAGCTACAATTGATTTGTTCTTTATAGCTGATTTTTTTATACTTGTCTTTCCTCTTTCTCTCCCATAATATGATGACTGATTAAATAGCTATTTTATTTTAAGTGCGAAAAATATACAGCTATAAAGAACAGTTTTAATAATTGCTAGCTCAGAGTACTCACAGTAATGTCGTTCGATAAAGTAGTTTCCCAGATGCAGGTCTTGTCACTTATCCTCCATAACTTTATCTTGCCGCGCATGTCGGCCGTGGCAATATACTTGTCGTTGTAGTTGAATTCAGCGAATATAACACTGTCGTCATGACTGTTGCCGGTACTGAAAATACTCTCGCCCGTGTTGGCGTTCCAGAGGTACGCCTTGTCGTTCTCGTCCCCTGACGCCGCCAGCTCGCCGTTCTTGCTTAACGAGCAGCAAAACACTGTGAACTCTGAAAGTCGGTTTGAAGAGAGAGAGAGAGATAATTAATGTCTCACGTGTCAATCGGTCTCGCGTACGGAGATCAAGGGGGCTTTTTCTCACTGGGTGTGTGGCCGCGAAAGACGCACACGGCGTCGTCGTCCTCCGCCTGCGCGTGATCCTCGTCTACCGGCGGACCCTCGTTTTCATTCCCGGACGAACCCTCGCTCTCGAAAATCGAGTCGTCCATGTCAATGATCTCCTCGATGTCGCCTACTTCCAGAATCATCTCATCCGAGTCGAGATTCCCCACCTCGGGCGGAGACGGTGGGGTATGTCGGCCTTGCATCTATCGGCGAAATCATATTTAATCGGCTACTTGATAAATTAGTAAAGCTAATACTGACCATTACGAGACAAATTCACGTCCGTGATCGAGTGAAGAACGATCTTTGCTCTTCTAGATTCTTCCCGGTATTGGAACGTTGAAAATATTGATGCACGTGTTCACGGCACGTGGCCTTGCGATGTTAAAACACATTTGAACACTGACCAACCAGACCAACACTGACGAGAACGCGAGAGGTGAGAGCATATGGCTTCTGCCTTCTACTTATGGCTCCTGTAATTTTAAGCGGGGAGCACACACTTCTGCACAACGTATAATGCGTAAGCATAAGAAAATTGATTGGTCCATACACATGTGCATAAGGAAATAGACCAATCTATGCGTTGTGCAGAAGTGTGTGCTCCCCGCTTTATGACCTAGTTTACATCGATCACTTGATACGCGTATTAAATAGTAAATAACTAGTAAATAAGTCTGATTATTGGCTGATCAGTTCAAATATACTATTTGCTACGCGTATCAAGAGATCGGTGTAAACTAGGCCTATGTGCTTCCACCTTAAAAGTAAGAGCCAATCACGTTCGACTGCTACTGAGCTGCTTGGTCTGCTGAACGCGCCCAATTATGTTATCACGTGATCGATACGTTGGTACAGAGAGAAACCGGTTTCTCTCTGGTTGTATATCTGGTTGTATATCTGGGAAGAGTTTTCTTTTCTGTATAAGCGTTCGAGTTCCCTGGAAACCTCTAGCAGGGAGATAAGGTTTGGAACGCGAAGAGCACCGCAGTTGAAAATCCAGGAGAGGGCCACGTGGAAGTGTCGCGCCGGTTCGTACCCATATCCGCAGCAGGTCTCCAAGGTAAAGAGCCTCTAGTCGATAGACTAATGTAGGTAAGGGAAGTCGGCAAATTGGATCCGTAACTTCGGAATAAGGATTGGCTCTGAGGAGCGGGGCGTGTCGGGCTTGGTCGGGAAGCGGGTTTGGCTGACGTGCCGGGCCTGGGCGAGGTGAACCGATCGGCGTTCTCGCGCCGGTCCCGGGGATCCGAGCTCGGTCCCGTGCCTTGGCCTCCCGCGGATCTTCCTTGCTGCGAGGCTTCCGTGGCGGTCTCATAACCTGATAGTCGTCAACTTTAACAGTTAATATCTCGCGTCGCGGGGCCGAGCGGGGCTTTTTTCTGCCAGATTCATTCGTTTTGTGCAAAAACGAATCGATTAAGCCTAATTTCATCGAAATCGGTGAGGAGGGAGCTCTCCTTCAGTTTTACCGTGACGCTACAAATGCTTCGAAGCATTCCTCTTCTCTTTTCTTTCGATGAAGAAAGAAGGAGAAGAAGAACGCTCCAAAGCATTTGTAGCGTCACGTTGACCGTAGCCAAGGTTATTGTTGTGAAATTTTTTGTTTGCTTCTTGAAACCACTAGAGTCGAGTTATATATATTTTCTCCGTTCCAGCTGCGATCTATTCGTCTATCGAACATGGATGATCTAACCAATGTGGATCTTAATAATATCGGTCATCTGGGTCTAATTGATCCAAATGATATAGATCTAACAAATATGAATTTGTTAGAAGCACAAGGACAATTCAACACCATTCTGTTAAGTGATATATCCAATTTGATTGACGCCATGGACTGCAAAAAATGCGTAGAAAAAGAAGAACTTTTAAAGGAAGCAAAAAAAAAATTAGATGTACAAAAGGAAATAATTGATAAAATGGTTAAGGAACGCAGGACATTGCATAATGTCATCCTAGAATTAAAGGGCAATATAAGGGTCTGTTGTCGAGTGCGTCCACGGACGCCGAAAGAAACTGAGCAGATGAAAGCGTAAGTAAATATGCAATTATTAGAGAAAATTTAATTAATTATTAAAATAAGAACATAGGATTTTTCAACTGCATTTTACAATTTCTGCAGAACACAAGTTAGTCTTTTTGATTTGTGTATCTAAATAAAAATATTGTTTGTTACAGGTTGTGTGATATAAGCTTCATCGACGATTGTACCATTGAAATAGGTAAATCGGAGATTTACCAAAAATTTTCATTTGATAAAATTTTTGCTCCCAATGCTTCGCAAGCAGATGTGTTCGAAGAATTGTCCCTGTTAGTACAATCAGCACTTGAAGGATATAATGTTTGTGTATTTGCCTGTGGTCAGACTGGTTCTGGCAAGACGTATACTATGGAAGGAGAACGTGGATCACAGACTGATGAAGGCATAATACCTAGAACGGTATGTTTTTATATATATTTACAATATAATATATGTATATGTATATATATATATATATATATGTGTGTGTAATTAAAAATCATACTTTTATATAAATATTTAAATTTACGACTGTAATTTGGCTTTTTATAATCAAAAAGATAATCAAAATACGTGTATGTAATTTCAGGTACATTACATATTTGAAGAAATAAAAAATATGGAACTGCTTGGCTGGGAATATCGAATAGAAGCAAGTTTTTTGGAAATTTATAACGAGCATATCGTTGATCTTCTCGATATAACGCCAAAACCACACGAAATACAAATGGTTCCTGATAAAGATGGAGATTTATACGTTACCAACCTTAAGATTGAAGAAATACACAGTCCAGATGAATTACACGAATGCCTACGAACTGTACAACGCAACCGTGCAGCAATTGCATCTACTCAGTCAAATGAACGGTAATTTTATTTTCATATTATATCTAAGTTAAATTTGTTCTTTTGAGGTTTCCTTCGTATGAATAAAAGTTAAGTTAAGGTCATATATTAATGTACAGAATCTTGGTCACTCTGTTATCGGGATATTTATCTTATTTATCTTTTTTTATCTTTTCAATTAAATAAATAACATAGTTATCGAGAAAATGTTTATTATATGATTAAATATTTATTAAGATATAGTTTAACATAGAATTTAATTTATAATAAATAATTTGCATTTCAGATCATCCAAATCTCATTCAGTAGTAAGAATACGCTTGATTGGTACACATGTTACGAAACAAGAGGAGTCAATAGGAAATCTGAATTTAGTCGACTTAGCCGGGTCTGAACATCTGAAAACTGAAGAAGCTGTTAGAACTGCAGAAACAAAGAATATTAACAAATCTTTAGCCAATCTTGGCAAGGTAATTTTAGCACTATTGAAAAAACAGGAACATATACCTTATAAAAAATCTAAATTGACCCACCTGCTTATGCCTTCTCTAGGAGGCAATTCAAAAACTTTGATGTTATTAAATGTATCTCCATTAGACGAATGTTATAACGAGACATTAAATTCGCTGATATTTGCCAGTAAAATCAGTAATTGCAAGACTGGAAATGTTAATGAATAATAAAGACAGAATGACATCACAAGTGAGAATTATCTGAGTTTTGATGTAAATGGAAAGCAACTAATATTTATGATCTTTTTTTGTTTATAACATATTTTTCTTTTTATTGTAAACATTGTAAAGTATATCGCGTGTGTGCGTAACGATCAGTTTGTACTGTTATTTACATTATTAGAAATGGATTAGAAGGAATATGTCACTTTTTCTTTTATCTTTCGAAGAGTATTTCAGTTTCTAGTATAACATTGGACAAAAGTAGATTAATTTTGTTACTTAATGCATCACGATTCTTAGAAGACTGTGAGATACTGATTTTTATTGCATTTATTGTTTCTATATATTTTACTGTCTTTACTATAAATATTCCTTTTATTATCGCTATTTACTTCGCATCATGCAAATTTTTGTATTCGGTACACTAAGCGTTTCTGTCACGATCGATGAATATCTTACAATCGTCAGGTAAATGCGTAAACCTGTATAAAACACAATTATATACATTGCGGCGTTTATTATGAAGAGATAAATTATGTCAACTTCTGTGTGTTACATATATCTTAAATCGATTACTTCATACATTAAGATTTGTCAATCGGCGTCACGAAAGTTCTATTGTCATATATCCGTCTTTTGATGGCATTGATTACTAAATTCCTTTAGTACGTCGCAAAGTCGGCCCCTGTTCGTCTTCTCGCGCAAAATGCGCGTGATGTCTTCCTTCTGCAAGACGGCGGCGAGGTTCTTTTGATTCTCCAGTCCGGCGCGTAACCATTGCGCGGTCCATTCCGGACACGTTTTGTTCAACGCTAACAGAACCTCGGCGTGAGGCTCCAAATTGTGAGGCACTGCTCCACCTAACGGAAATAAAGAAATAAATAAATAGGCGATTGAACGAAACCGGCTTCACGTTCGCAAATGCGTACATCCTGAAACATTCTGCTTACCGACACAATGCAGAATCGCCGCGACAAGTTCCTGTCCGATTGGTTGAATAAACGTCTGCAGGTGCGGGCTTTGCACAATCGCGTGACTAAGAAAATGCCCGGCCGCTTTGGCTGTCGCCGTCTCCGGGAGCGTTAGACATGCAATTCCTGTAAAAAAGAAATACAACTACATACATTGTACGGTGATTCTTTTTTTATATTTCTACGAATACATCGATGATATTGCGCTTACCGCACTGCAACATATCCGGTATTTGATCCGGGATTTGCAGCAACAACCGGGCGTTCTTCTTACAGATCTGCGCAAGCACGCCCATGTAGGCCTCCATCAAGTCCGACCACTCGGACAGATCGCCCTGCACCGATCTGCACACCTTCACGCCGTTCAAAGTTAACGAGCTCATTTCCGCGAGCACCGGACTCACAATGTTGTCCGGATCTCTGCCGAACAGCAACACCAGCTGCTTCAGGAGATTTAACGCGGCTGGATGCGGCCAGATTTTGTAAGAGGTCAACAGGATCAGCAGCAAGGGCCGTGCCTCAATCTCCGGCTGCCGCAACGCGGACAGGGATCGTTGCGCGCACATATGCATCGCCTCCAGCGTGGCGTTATCCTGGCTCCACTCGGGATGCGTGACGATCTGATTGAACACCGACAGCACGCCGTCCAGCACGGCCCTGCCGATTGCACCCTCGATCGTGCTGAAGAACATGGTGACCATTTTCAGGTAATTCGTCACACCGAGCCGCGCCGTGAATAACGGCTGCCCCAATAGCTCCTTTATCTTCGTCACGCATAGTCCTAGTGTCGCCTCCAGGTGCACCAGTTGCTCCTCCATAGAAGACAACACATTAAGCAGCTTCCCGGCCGCATACATGAGCCGTAAACCTTCCCCACCGCCAGGCTCGACGTTCGGTAGCGTCTGACTGATGGTGTGAAGAATGGATGGCGCGTAAGGGGCGAGATATGGCCCGCACTCCCTCGTCAAATCCTTCAGTGCCATACTCGCAAACGGCGCTGTCGTGGAACCTCTGGTCAATCCTTGAATAACGAGCTGCAACACTTTCTCCAGCCACGGTTCGGGATGTTCTCCTATCCATTCGGCGTATGCGCCCAGCGTCGAACAGGCACACGTCAGTACCTGGCAATGAAAGGAGCAAAATACTTGTGTGATATTGCAATTAATAATTATTTTTAAGAATGATCGTTATATACCTCTTCAGGATACAGATGATAAGGTATGTGAACAATAATCAAGTTTATCAGCGCAGGGATGTAACAGTACTCCTGAGTACCGACGCTCTCGGAGAGAGCTTTGAAGGCGTGTAACGTCGACTCTATGTGAGTCCACGGTGAGTCTTCCAAACTCAATCTTTGTCCGAGAAGTGCCAGCAGATCACTGCCGAGAACACTGTAACAATAGTCCAACGTGTCCGCCACGTCCTGCCTGTAGCATCTGAAAAGCTCGCGCTCGTCCGCGTCTCCCCTCTCGTTCGGAGACGTGGGTAACGTCGACTTTCGCAGCAACGCCTGGGCCAGTCGAAAGTAAATCGGTTTCAACGCCTCCAGAGCCCGGTTTTCCAACGGTTGATCTAGCGTGGCGAGATCGTCCTGTAACGCGTACCAGAATCCAAACGGAATACAGCTGCGTGTTTCATCGGTAGGATAACGTCCCTCCAGTTCCGAGCACTCCAACAGCAGCTCGATCAGTCCCATGGCCGTCCACGTATGCGCCTCGTTGGAATTTTCAGCCAGAGCGATCAAAAACGCCCGACTGTGGGCCTCTCCGATGGCGGTCAATATCTCGCAAAAGTATTTTCTATTGTACTGCTTTGCCATCAAGACCAAACTCCTGGCCCACTCCCAGAATGTCTGTGGCCGTTTGTGAAGCTCGTAGTGCGTTACAATCATAATTAAACAATCTTGTACTACATCCCAGCTCTTCATGTTCTCATCATCGCCATGAGTCTCGTCTCTTTAACGAAAAAAAAGAATCGAATGATATTTAAATTTATTTAATAATTCGATAACTTATTTATTACTTTTTTCTATTGCTATACAGTTAAATTTTACAATATCAGTCTTTCAATAATGCAACTTACTTGTTAGGTGCATAATGAGCTGCAGCCACTAATAAATAGGGATAGATCTGGCCGGTGGTCTCTAAACATAGCTGGCCAACCTTAAGCCACGATTGAGCGCATTCCAGTCCTAAGGAGTATAATACATCGTCGTTGCCTTGAGAATCCAGATTACACATTGAAAAGACCCGCTGCAAGAACCATGCAGTTTGGCACCAGCTGTTGATTAAGTTGACAGGAGCTCCCCGCAGTTTGGCAATCTTCGCTTCTTGTCTCTTCTCGTACTGAAAATAATCGCAGGTTTATCATCAGTTTAAACTCGTCGAAAAGTAAAAATTAAGTAGCGCAATCTGTATATATTTTACCTCAATGGGAAGCGTCGAGAGCACTCGAAGCAGTAATTCTAACGCAGATGGGGAATCATAAGGTAACATGTCGAGCAATTCGTCGACTATACTCCTGTCCTGTTCCCTGTTTTCTGCACTGTAAACGCTGGCCACAAACGCGGCTAACTGAAATCGTTACATGTCGGGTAATTATATAAAGGTCCATTTACTTATTTACAGTATTCTCCTTTATTCTTAAATAACACAGAGAAGGATGTATTACCGCTTGACAAAGCTTTATAAGGATGCATAACGGGATGTTGGGTCTCCTCACACTATTGAGCAAACGTTCCCTTAACACCGGGTACTCAGCTTCAGGCACTTCATTCCACTGTTTGGATATCTTCGCGTGCAAAGTCGTTGCCGCAAAAAATTGCACTTCGTATGACTGCAAAGATAATACGAACGGCTTCGTTTACACATCGGTGAAAAAAAAAAGAATCAGCTGATCAGATCTGTATTCGTTCAAAGCACTTGTTTCAAAATATTGCCGATATGTAGGAAGAATTAAGGTAAATCAGAAGTTTCACAGAATAAAGAGGAAGAGAGACTAAACAATCCTGGGCTGATAGGTACCTTGGAAGGATCCAAAAGTTGCCAGACAAATTGCCAGGCCTCGGGGGAGGCTTGCACCTGTAGGAGCCATGAGTGTGCCTCGTTATTGCCCGCCGAGTAAAATTGCCTGACCGCGTCGTCGATGACCGTTGCATAATCCATACCAAGCGTTTCGCACGACAGGTTGACAGCGTTACCCGTGCCCGTGTCTCGGTGTTCCTCTTATTAGGGCAGGTCGCGCACGTGGAGAGCCAACACGACGACCGGGGCTTCGTGACGCGCGTATGTACATTTAACTCGTCCCACTGCTCGCTCGTCTTCACGGTCCCTTATCATCTTCGGGAGATGCGATCAAGCGCGAATATTTTCCATCCGTACGGCGACACATAAACTAACCTAACCTGATCTAACCTAACCTAAACCTGTAATAATTCTGAATAATTCGTCGAGGAGCGTCACGAAACTGTGAGTTTGGTCGCTTGGCCTACTCCGCACTCTCCGCAGTCCGCAATCCGCGAACAGCTTCCACGCTAAATAAAAATAACACACAAATATTATGATCACTAAAAGAGAGTCGATTTTCACGATTCAAACTTTCGGGCTTACTGCCACCTCCCACATTATCACGATACTTTGAGAATTTATATTTTTATCGGTAATAATACAATAAGAAGTTAATAATACAATAAGAAGGTAGATAATTAATCTACAATCGATAAAATCACAAGTGACTAGTTATTTAAAATTAAATCTTTTTTAATTTTATATAAAATAGAAAATTATACCTATATTTTTTTATAAAATGTTTAAGTGTCAAAATGGGTTGATTCATTATTACATTATTTGTATTGCGGGAAAAATTTTTTCACGAGATACGTTTTACATTAAACTGCATTTATGAATCCTTTTTTTATACAGGGTTTTTGGTTTTCTTTATTTAATAACTAGGACATTTCCAAGTAACAATATAACATTTACACTTATATCATTAGAATGCTTAGTATTGTACGTTGCTTTGTATCACTGAAGTTTGAACAAACATTAGCAAGTTTTGTTTCTATTGCTCTGGATTATAGTTACTGCATTGAACCGCAAGTAATTTAGGACCCAAAGTGGGATTCGCAACGTAATAAGGAAACGCGGCCATTCCGTTACACGCTGCTCCATATTCTCCCTTTCTATTCAACGCGATCACCCCGCCGAAGAAGTTAGGATAATGTTGGGCGATTCTGTTAATCGCCTTCTTAGCAGCTGCACTCGGCGTTGCTCCATTACGCATCTCCTCCACCGCCAGAAAGCTACAAAAAAAGTATATTCAATTTCAGCAACTGTATTACTAAGGTGCTAAATATTAACTTTGCTTTAATACGGAACAAATTAAAAATTAAAACAGAAAATTTAAGACTTAAGTCTAAATAAAATGTATTTATAATTGTATTTTAATTCATTAAAATGTATCTGGAAAAAAAAAAAAATAAATAAATAAATTTATATTGATACGTAACGCGAATACCTCGGCAAAAATCGCATCATAATATCTCCGTCGCCGGTACCGGCTGCCGCACCGGCGTCCTGATCGGCGTACGCCCCAGCTCCCGCAATAGGAGAGTCCCCGATGCGACCGGGGATTTTATGCTTGGCGCCATTCGTGGACGTTCCAGCTGCTATACGTGTCTGCGAGTCTATCGCGACTATAGCGATGGTATCATGATTTTCCTCGCTTCCCACTGGCATGCTTCCGTCCTCTTCTACGTCACTCGCGCGATATGGTCCACAGGCGGTTGTTGGATCCGGTACGACGTTCTAGAAACAGCAAGAATACCGATGAGACAGTTGTGAGATGAGATGCAAAAAAGAGCGTGGCCTCTCTTTCAATACCCTCCAAAAGTTGGGCTGGCACTTGTTCGCCCTCCACTGCGTCCACATTTCTTTGGACTCGTTCGTTTGCAGGGACTCCTTCTTGAATCCCATATTCACAGCGAAATCCGTAGCCAGGTCCCCACCCAGAAGGGAATGCTTCGTGTGCTCCAGCACCTTGCGAGCGACCGAAATGGCGCTCTTCACGTTCCGCAAGCCTCCTACTCCGCCTACGTCCATCAGCACTCTGTGGAAAAGAATGCATCTCTTGAATATAATCACTAGTGTAGTTTAACGAAACGAGAAAAGAGCTGCTTTTGTTCGCTTCATTACCCATCCATGATGAGAGCGTCCAGCGTAGTTTCTCCAGCTTCATCTGGACTGCCGCCGAACCCCACGGTCTTTCTGCATTGCTGCTCCTCGCACAGGGAACATCCTTCCTCTATCGCGTCCAAAGCGCTTCTCTTCTGATTATATATCACATCCCATGCTTAAACGATAATTAACAGTGTCTTCAAACTGCCAGAAGCTCCTTGAACGTCTCTCATTCCGGGCGCAATTAGATATAACATACCTTTTTTCGTCGCATCTGTATAATTCCACGTGATGACTATCAAGGGAAAGCTATCGGGACCGCCAAGTTTCTGTTCATCGATTGCATTGAGCGAGCAAACTTCCAAGAGCAACAAAATTCCTACAAAGCTGACGAGCCTCATCCTGCCTGCGGCTTCTGGAGGTGAACAGCAGCCTACGTAGGCATTAAATAGCATGAACTTCGCGCGACAAGGAGCATGGAGGGAGAAAATATATCTCTGATAAGCAGGAAATCCAATATCTGATTGATACTATTGCGCTATAAGTGGAATAGAGATTCGACAACAATATAATTCATTGTTACTAACCGGCGGCTATTTTTTTTATCTCGCAAATAGCCATTAGATCTACTGGACTATTACGTTGCCTTGATACACTGTAATTAGGTTATCGCATTGCTAATATTTTTCTAGAGCGAGGAAGCGACTCCGGACTTAGCGAGTGCATCGAACTATGTAAACAATGCAGTATGCAGTAGTATGCACCAACGCCAACACGTGTGCGATGTATAGGGTCTCCGAGAAGACAGCTTGCTTAGGTGCAAGTTGTTTTTGTGCAATTTCATCGAAATTTGGACGACTAGCTCGTAATAGAATATTAATTTTCAAATGTATCATAATCACATCCTCATAGATATACATCTCGAAAATTTTCATTTGAAACTGCACATCCGCGTTCAATCGCTTATGCGTGGATGATAACAACGGATGGAAAAAAAAATGCAGTTTCGCAGCAATATACACGTGACTTTCTGCGTGCCAAATATTTCAGAAATGTTTGCTAAAATAAAGAAAATGACGCATTACAAATATAATTGTTCAAACATTTTTATCGGCGGGCAATTCAATTATAGTCGACGATCGATAATGTCAATGCTCTACTATTACTCCCGCGGCCCACCGGGTCCATTTGATAATCGCAATCATCGCAATTTACCTAGGGCTGGCCGTTTTTAATAGCACACCTCGTCGACGACGACAAATCCTGTGGTCCGCGAGCGGAATTCGACACGTTTGCGATGCGCGTATCGTGTCGCGGTCGCGTTGTGTAATTAATCTCGTTTATCTACGCAACGTGGCCGAAATTAACGTACAGAAATTAAGAGGCAATTATCTGCGGCCACGTTCTCCAGTCCGTCGACCACGTCTGCCGTCTGCCTTTGCTCGTTCTCGTCAGTAGCTCTCATGAATGAATCCCACGAAACAGCTGACAGCTGACAGCACCTCACTCATCCATGTATACGGGATAGCGACCGCCTTCGAGAATTGTCAGGGAAAATATAGGTGATCTTCTGCGTACGACAGGTCGTACGATAACATTTGATAATAGTCGATCAGTCCGATCTCGCGTGTAATTCTATTAATTGTAAAAATTGTCCACTTTGACCGCGCGGAATGTCTTTCAAAAAGGATCTAAAGTTGCTCGTTAAACCGTACTACTTGATAAACATCTTCCTCAGCGTCTCTTACATCATCTCCAAGCGCTTTCCTATAATTTGTAATTACATATTTGCTCAAGACGACTGCGAGCTCGATGGGGTGAGTTGATAATTAATCTGTCGGATATAATTTTTATAATGTTTTAAGTCATTCCATTAATAAGCACCTGTGCTTTCAGAGGGAAACGGAGATTCTCTTTTTCCTCATGATCGTTATCATGATAAGGACAAGGAAGACCGGCAGCGTGACCATGATAAATTACCTGACATCCAGTTTTGTGTATACGAAAGCGGCAAACTTGATCCTGTGGTTCTACGCGGACGTGCGGATGGGCATTCTGTTTGCATTTATTTTTATACGTAAGAGAAAAATGCGAAACACTATCTCGCGAACAGACTGCTGTACGTCGCGAGGAATATAATTACATTTTGTACGTAGTGTGCGGATTAGTGCTGCCAGAACCGACGTATCAAGGGCCTGAAAATGTGATCTACCTACGTGGGGCCAATGGACTGCAGGAGGAGCTGCAGCGTGACACCAGAGTGGTCTGGCTGGTGGCGTTCTACACCGCGTGGAATCCAGCTTGCGTTACTTTTGCACCGATATTTTCCGAGCTCTCTGCGGAGTAAGACGACTTAATTTAAATACAGTCTAATCTCTCTTTCTTGTCACGGGAACTATTCTATATACCTGCTATCATTGAAAATACGTGCTTCAGATACGCGTTGGAGAACTTCAAGTTCGGAAAGGTGGACATCGGTAGATATCCGGACGCTGCGGCAAAGTATCATATTAGCGACGCCAGCACGAGCAAGCAACTGCCAACGTTAATACTCTTTAAAGATGGCAAGGAAGCGGAGCGACGTCCATACGCGGACAACAAAGGAAAGCTCGTCAAGTTTCTCTTCTCGCTGGTATGCCTCGCCATTCGGATCTAACTTGTTAAAATCTTAATTTGTGTAATTCTATTCTTATTTATTCATCTCAATTTTTCAGGACAATGTAAAGGCTGCGTTCGATCTCAATAATATCTACAGCGACTGTAAGAAACATCCTATCAAAAGGAAAGAGAGGAAATCGTTGAAGGCAGAATAATGAAGGCACACTTAGGCATTTAATGAAAAAAAGTTTTTGCAGTTGAGCGAGTTTCAGTTAGATGAACTTGTACCGTGTAGAAAATCCAGCTAGCGGGTTATCTCGATCGAGTTCTGATTCTAAATTAAAAATACGAGGATTCGTGTAAATATTTTGTTGCGTGTTGCAATAATCTCTGCAGTGCTCTTATATTGTCTTCACTTACGTTTAAACATCTGTACATAACATTCGTCACAGATCGTTATTGTAATATTGTGTATGATGTGTGTGAATGTGCCATAGATATATATATATATATATATATATATATTAACATAAAATTCAAATATGTACAGAAAGCTTGTTACGCGATTAACAATAATGTTGCGTCGTTTCTCTTTACAATATGCTCGATATAGCTGTTGAATAAAAGCTGATCGTTGGCATGCACGCTCTTTTCTATTTTCTCTTATAAAAATGCAGTCATTTGCATTTGGCATATTACAATCTGTACAATGATAGAGTTTAATAACGAGGACTGTAGCACCTCGAACCCTTAAAATTAAATATAAATCCTGTTTCATTCCACCCAGACTGACCTAGACCCAGACTCCAAATTTAACTTTATTAATTTAATTTTTAAATAACTATATATCAAACACGAATGTATATATCTAATTCCTTTTTGTGTTCCGAGGAACATGAGACTATTATGATACGTTATTTTCTTTAATTCTTTAATCCTTTTAACAGTATGTAAAGTTTTATCGAAGTAACTTAAAGTGAATGAAATATATTCAATTTTCAGGGAATGGATAACAGCTGAAACATTAACAATGTAATAACAATAATAATTCATGATTTAATAAAGGAAAATGAGTAAGATACATAAAACCAATCAGAAATCATATACGATAAGAATATAAGATAGATTGCGAGATATATTTGGCAATTATACTGTGCTTTCTTTATTGTATAATAAAATTGAAACATCTTGTTGAGTTCATGTTTCTGTTTAATTTTGATTTTTGTTTCGCTGTTTATAGTACAGAAAAGAGGAACAGAAAAATTCATCGAAGATATGTTTCTACTTAGAGACTTAATCGATATCACTTTCTTCAATGTCTTACATATATATAACACATTTAATGTTGCCTCATATTAATTATGCTTATATGTAAATTGGCGAATATGTTGCAATAAAAATCAGTTTCTCACAGTCTTCTAAGAATCGTGATGCATTAAGTAATAAAATTAATCTACTTTTGTCCAATGTTATACTAGGAACTGAAATACTCTTCGAAAGATAAAAGAAAAAGTGATATATTCCTTCTAATCCATTTCTAATAATGTAAATAACAGTACAAACTGATCGTTACGCACACACGCGATATACTTTACAATGTTTACAATAAAAAGTAAAATATGTTATAAACAAAAAAAGATCATAAATATTAGTTGCTTTCCATTTACATGAAAACTCAGATAATTCTCACTTGTGATGTCATTCTGTCTTTATTATTCATTAATTCCCAAAAAGGATAGAACGACGTCACAATTGAGAATTAGCTGAGTTTTGATGTAAATGGAAAGCTCCTAATATATCTACCAAAATCTTCATGATTTAGTTCTACTTCCAATTTTGTGTGTACATATTATTAAATATCCTAAAATAATTTGGATAAATAATTTTCAACCCTCTTACAATTAAAAAATTACTTATTTGTCTTGATGGAATATCGCGAAATCAAGAAATAAAAAGTTATTAGTATAAATGACACACCGATGCATTGTAAAATAAAACAAAAAATATAAAATCAGTCATTCGATACAAAATAAAACCATTCTCACTTATATTCTTTATATTATACGTTACGTATGTAAGTTCAGCGTGTATATACATTTGACTTGAAAGAATCTCTAAGTATTATTTGGTGCACAGACATGCGATCGTATGTAAATGCGAAAAATGGGTGCAATATAAAGCCTTTGAAATGAAATATGTACTGGCCCGTTGGAAATTTCGGAGTAAAAGGTCTGCTTGGTTTTATTATAAAAATGTAGAAAACGAACGGATGGCGGGGAAAGGATGGATCGATATAATTATCTTATATTTACATATAATTTGCAAAGATCTACCCCATCCAAAGGATAAAACAGAATTTTCACTGGGGGGGTTCACCACCGTTCGATAAGGGTGGTGCGCCGAATTTCGCGGCGACGCGTGATTTCCTGGGTTTGGACGATTTTCCCGCATTTTGTTGCGGTTGTTGCGATTGTTGTTTCTGCGGTTCGCTCGACGTCTTCTCCCTGGCTTTATTTACAACTTCCGGCTTCTGTTTCTGCGTGAGAGAAATTGGCGATTCGATTACAAATATCAATGCGACAAAAAGAAACGACTTAACTTTTATTTACGAACCTTGGGCAACGTTTCCTCTTGTTTCTGCTGCTGTTTTTGCTGCTGTTGCTGCTGCGCTTTAGGACTGGAGCTCTTCTTAGTATTCGGATTCGGCTCTCTCGAGGCTTGTTGTACGCTGGCGTTTCTACTCTTTTTCTGAGCTTGTAACGGAACGAACGCGGTACTATTCCTGATCTCCATCTTCGGTCCGTTCTGAGGACCTTTCTGTTGCCCTTGATGTCTCACTTGCTGCTGCATGACTTGACTATACGATGCGACTTGTCCGAACGCTGGATTCGGTGGCATTTTTGGATTCCATTTCGGATAAAATAAGTTAGGCTGCATAGGCAGAGTCTGCGGGACTGGCGGCATTTTCAGAGGACCCATAGGAGCCATCATAGGAGGCCGGATATTTTGGATCCAGTTATTTTGTTGAGTATTAAACCATTGAGGCGTCATCACTATTTTCGTATCGTGCATTGACGCCTTATTAAAATTTAACGCCTAACAATAAGCGTCACATTAATAAAATAATCAAGATCGAAAAAGAAACTTTTTATACACTTATTATTACCTTGTATGCTTTTTTTGCAGCGCTTTCTGCGGCTTGCTCGTGAGTGGTGCAAGGATCTCCTTTAAAAACCTTTGCATTTTCCAACATAACGTGGGCGCTAATTAAACCTGTCTTCTCGTCGACAATATAATTATATTTCGGTATGCCAGCTCCGTTATACGAAAAATGTCTTAACAGTTGCGAGCTATACCAGACCGGATTTACTTTCTCCTTTTTCTGTTCGGTTCGTCGAGCGTGCTAAACAAACGCATACATATCTTTAGATGTAAAATTATTATAGGCAAACACAATATAAATGAATTAACACAATATAAATGCATACATCGAACAACTGTTGTACCAAAGGTGGAGGATTCAAAGTTTCAGCTTTCTGTGAAACTGTCGCTTTCTGAAGCGTCCCCGCTGGTTGAGGCGTAGATTGTTTACTTTCTTGCTTACTCGTTTGCGGATTTACGTCAGGAATCTTCAACACAGCTTTCAAAAACGCGCTAGGATCTTGCGGCTGTAATATAACGATCCTTTAGAAATATAGCAATGAAACAAATGAAATTTTAAAAGTACAATATTCAGTGCTTACCGATTGCATATTATTGCTAAATGGCTTGACTTTCGTCATTGGACTGGATGCTACTTTCTCCGGCGGTCCATTCGGCTTCTATTAAAGCAAATATTGTAGCAAAATATCTATAAGATTCGTGAAACAACCTCGCAACTCTACACCGCTACATTTACCTGTATCTTATGCAATTCGTTCCATAACGCTTGAAACTCGGATGCTTGATTAGGATTAGGTGGCGCGTTTTGAGGATGTTGTAATACTTTACACGGTATTGTTTTCGGACTCAATTCTATCATGCCGTGTTGCGCCATACCCAAACAAATCTCACGATTTAATTTCTCAAGGCCCTTCTTAGCGAGCTGCATTGGCGGGTACGGTACCTTCGACGATTGATCGTTCTTGCTGGGAGAAGCGGAATTCGCTGTTTGCTTTCGACATTCCATCAATTCATTCGGATTTCCGTGCTCCGTTCTCTCGCCGAAACTAATATTTATGAAGTCCGTAGCTGTCAAGCGATAACCGCGAAATTGAGAGCAACCGTTTAGCGTAAGTCCGCCTGCAATGCACACGTAAACAAAAAATATTCCATAAAAGTTCAAGGGCACTTAATATTTGAAGTTCCGGAAAGTTATGTATTTCTCACCCATGAAAGGCTTATCGAACACAACGTCGTACATGGTGTCAAGCGGAGTGTTCCCCTTTCGTATCCCTATGATAGTGCCTTTAGCTCCGAGCGGTACGCTAAAGCCGCTTCTGATACAGCGAATTCTATCGAACAAACGATTTTGGGAGTTTGGATCGGGCGGCACGTTACGCAAATTTAAACCCGGCTTGTAAAGTAACTGCGGCTTCACTTGCAGAAAAACTGTTTTCGCCGTGGTCTCCTCAGTCTTCAAGCATTTATCTACTTCCTCTTCGATCTGTTTTATCAGGTCCGTTTCGATGACGTCCATCCCGCAAACGCGACTGTCCAAACCTTGCAGTTCTGTTTTCAGCCACGCAACTGTATCTTTCAGCTCATCCGATCTATATAATGTTCACGTTGCATTATTATATCATGATATGATATATTATATCATATTTTGTGACATAAGAAAATACGCAATGTACCCCGTATTGAAGAGGTCTCCCTCTTGGAAAATGTCGTTCGTCACATTGTGGGCCAAACGTTCGAACAAGATAGGACATTTCGTCATATAATTTCGAATCAGTTCGATCGCTTTTGTGCTATACAACCATTGGCTGTTCTCCTTTCTGGTATAACCAGGCACCTTCGAAAATTTCGATAGATTAAAAACGGAAAATGATTAAGAATGTGCAACATTTATCAGTCATATTTAATATAATGAATAAAATTTGTTTTCGTATATATTTCTTACCTCTTCATTTCTTTTATTGAACTTTAAGTTCAACCCGAGGTTATATTTTGTAAGTTCCTCCTTCATTGGTTGTATGACGTAAATTGTCCCAGTGATTCTGCTTAAAAGATGACTACTTATTCCAAGACGTTGCGCGGCAATACTGCCGTGCATATATCGCGTCTTCTGTTGCGTGTAGGCTTGTTTAATGGCGTCGAATGTTGGCTCCTTTACGGATTTTATAGAAATTTTGATTCTGCGCGACTTTGAAATATCCTTATTTTGTATAACCTGTAGATTCATAAAATCTTTTTAAGTGAAACTAAATTCCGTTCCAATAAATTTTAAAGTAATTTAATTAGAATCATTATAGAATCATTAATCTCAATAACCAATATGACACAAGAAGAAATCCAATGTGATTGTACCTCTCCCATCGCACCGTAATAAGGACGTCCCAACATAAAACAAAAGGTTCCTGGTATAAAAATATCATGCATAGTTTCGTAAACTGTCAATTTTTTGCTGTAGACGGAGATATCTCTGACTACAGTCTGATAAGCGTAAACCGCAGGATAATCGTTCCACTGTTTCTCGATTGTAACTTTTCCCTGACCACCAAAAATATATTTGCTACCCAGAAATGAGCGAGTAAAAAGCAACACATCCGTATTGCCAATATCTATCCCAAGACGTGACATATGTCTAAAAGCAAATATCGCCAAAATATTATATTACGTTCTCAATATTACTCTATCATAAATGAGAGCATTAATAATGTCATCTTACATTTCTTTGATTTGTTTTTTGTGCGTCTTCCATTCCGCGGCTAACGCGGTCTTTACCTCTTCTTTCTTTAGATTAGCGTCACTGTAACCGTCTAACTGATTGATTAAACTGAATTTCACGTTGCAGTCAGCTACGCCAATTACGAGGGCCTCCTTCAAATGCGGCCATTCCACATATACGCTCTTTCCTAATAGCTCCGACGCTAAAGTTGTCAAACTTGGTGTTGGTTTCGATATTATGCTTAAAATCATATTTTCCCCGACTGAAGGTTGTTGAAATACTTTGACCTAACAAAGATAATTATATAACAACTTGTTGAGATTCATAATAATATCGAATTCCAATATATGTACCTTCGCTTTGTCCAAATGCGCTGTATAATTCAAGTGCCGTAGTATAGGAAATCCTGGATAATAAACGTCGAGATCAAAACCTGGGGACAATCCGCGAATCAACTGTTCTCTCGGAACAAAAATGTCATCGCGATTCATTAATTTTACTTCAGCGTGACTGACAAATTCTGGAAAGTATACGGTTGCTTTATGAACACTTCGGATCTCGTCAGTATACGAGTACGAACACATCGGCCCATGTTTGTTCCTTGCTTGTTCTTCCGTCGACAATCTCGATAAGTGTGGCTGCATAGCTGTCACAGATAAGTAGAGAAAAATTTAAATTTTTTATATTGGTATTTTAAAGGAAAGTTTAAAATTTTTTAATTGAACATCTAAATTTTTTCATAAAGGGGCTAGCGAACAAAGCTCGTTCTTAGTGCTTATAATTACATCTTACAATCGACAAATAAACATATAATTTATTTAAATCTTATTTCACACAAATATGGATATTTTCAAGACAGAAGAGGATTATTACTCACCAGCCAACAACAGTTTTTCATCAATGAATGGGATAAGTACAACTGCTTCCCATTCCTGACGTTTTCCATTTAGATCAGTTTTAAAATTATGTGGATAATAATTGATAATGGGAGAAGAATCCTCTGTCAATAGCGATTGAAATGCTTCTGGCAACAGTTCTTTGCTAAATGCCGGTAACACAGCTAGTAATTGTTGAAAAGGTAAAAACGGCTCTCCCAACTCGAATTCTAACTTCAAATCCTTGAAGTCTTTTATATCTGAAATATACGGGGCGTAATGATGCGGATAATACCACGACCAGCTGCAACAGCCGTGATAATAATAATGCAAATTCCACTGTATCGCCCTCACATAGCCCTCAGCCTGCGAACGTAAAACTTCTCTGGAATTAAATAAAGTATATTTGTGAAAATATTGGAATACTAACGTCAGACATTTTGTGTAAAATTATACGTATCTATAAATTACTCACTCGTCAACGTTCTCATATTCTAACTTGTTCATATAGTAATCTTTCTTATGTTGTACAAATTCCATATTGTATATATCACTATCGGATTCATCATCTATTATTAAATCCATATTATCTCTATACTCTATAAAGACATCATCATCATCGTCAAAATTACCTAAGGACTGTGTTGCAAAGCATTAATTTTCACTTATTCAGCTATCTACAGCGATCATAAAAAAAATATTTAAATAAGTACCATCTCCGTAGTACTTTTAATAAGAGCATCTAAATCTTTATTTTGCGTTTTCTTTGGAGATGCGTTCTCGCTGTCGTCTGATTTTTTATATACATGACGTTCAGATTCATTGGGCCTTCTACCTGTTTTATTTTCAAAAAACTTTATATCGGCGTAATGCTCGTTAAACTGTTCTACGTCTAAACGACTAAGTTTCTCCATAAACTTTTCAAAACGGTCGAGTTGTAATGTTCCCGCTTCATTTATGTAACCTGAAGCAAAACAATATATCATATTTATTTAATTATATAAAGATATAAACTAAAGATAACTGATAACAGTGATGACATACCTTCTAGAGTTGGTAATACTTCCATGTATGCACGGTACAGAATTGGCAGTGCACCGTTGGCAATGTGTAAATTTGGCAGGTGGGGAATAAAATCGTTTCCTACCAGAAAACCCATCAAAACCCAGTCATCGATTATTTTCTCGATATCAAATGTGAAGGATAGCTTATCCTTGAGCGACGAAAACTCGTGCTCTATGTACTCTCGCAAAAGCGACAAGTGAAGAAGGCAAAACTTTGTCTCCTCGGGGGTCATTTTCACTTGCTGCTTACCAAACTTGACTTCCTCTCTCAAAAGAGAGAAGTTTGGCTCGTGTGAACAGAGACCCAACATTATTAAATCGGCATCCAAACCGTATAAACAATGCCTAGAGTTACAGTCGTAATCCTTGCTCGCCTTCATGTACCTTATGTAATCCATAATTTTATGCTCTCCCTCTCCGGGGACCTAAAACAGATTCAATACGTTATATTCTATTGAACAACAAGTATCTCAGTCCTGCATTATTTCTGTGAAGAGGGCAAATTATATTTGTCTCTCTTATGTTACATTATCGGAAGATTACCTCAGACCCGCTGAACAGTATCCTACACTTTTTCCATGCATCATCAGTGGAAATCTTATGTTCGACAAAATGTTTGAGCTGCTCGCCCAGTTTAGCCATAAAGAGCGTTCCCGGGGTTATGCAATTTGAGTCGAATCTCTTCTCGGTGGGTATCGGGATACCCTTGGACTTGGCTCTAGCCTCTTGCACCTCGACATCCTTGGCGGCTCTGAAACGCCGGCCCCTCTGCTGATTTATCTTGGCTCTAGGCGCGACGCCGTCGATCGCCATGAAGAACAACTTTTGCGGGCGGATCATGTTGAATAGCACCTCTATGTAGTGAAATATATTCTTAAAAATCATCTCCTCGGTGATGCGGAAGCAGACGTCGTCGTTCGGATGGGAACATGTATGTATGATACCGTTCATGTCCAAATATAAATAATCAAATTCCGGTATCTAAAAAGAAAGGGAAGTAATGTCAATGACTGTGATTACTGCATTAGGATGAGGGGGGAGGGGGATTATAAAAAAAAATAGTTTTATCTTTTTACTGAAACGTTGAAGAGAAGGCAAATCTTGTTTTGCGCGCAATAAGGAAAAAAGGAAATGACGAAGGAGCATGGTAGGGCGAAGGGAAAAGGGACCCCGTCGCCCGAGGATTTGTATTGCTTTTTTTCTCTCTTCCCTCTGTCTCTCCCTCTCCCTCCCGTTAAATACCTGATGTTCCTTCACGACCTCGCTGAGGCAGGGGTATCTCTCGCTTATGTATCGGAAGAATTTCGGCACACCCATCCTGAGGCCTTGCTTCTCGACGTCGAAATAAACACGTTCCCCGACTGAGACTCTGTGCCCGTGGCAAGCGCTTCGCGCGTCCCTCTCGTAAAGGTCGTTCTATCAAAATTAAAGATTTCGCTCGCGAGTACGCTATATCAACTTTGCTTCGACGGTAACGTCCGTCGCGGGTTGTCCGTTTCAGACATAGATGGGAAGACGAGTGCGGGAATCCTGGACTGGATTCGGAATGGCCGCCGGCCGGGATCCGGGATCCTCTCCGCGGCTCCGTTCTAAAGTGCTCTAAAGCGCCGTTCTCATGGGGCGGGAAAGGTCGATGGGGCGGCAATCCGCCATCCGGCAATGGAGACGTGTTGTTTGATTGGAGACAATAGGGCGGTTTTTCTTCTCCATCCAAACGGCAATCACGTCAGTAATTAATACCAAACAACATTTATTTTCTTAGCACGGATTAATTTGTAATTAATGGAATAATTAACTTTTTCATTGTTTAACATAGGTTAAGAGAAAATAGGTTAGGAACAACGAATTGCGTAATTTTTATTTAAAGCTGGTTGTTGAGTTAATCGCCGCGATTAAGTTAATCACTGTTAAATCGTGGTTGCTTTAATTATCGGAACCAGCGGCCAGCAATTCGTTGCCGTTGGTATTTTTGTCTTAATGCCATCTCAGGGAATATTATGGTAGTCGGTGTCTCTTCGAATGAGCGCAGACGATAAGAACGGAAAGACATGGGTCGCACTACCTCCTACGAGAAGGAAAACAGTGTCGAAGAGAATGTTATATCAAAGCTATTCATCAAGGATGGAAACAGAGACGCAATACTTGATTATCGCAAATTTAAAGAGGTATTTTTCGTCTGTTATCTTAATAATATCTGATAATATATTGGCTGCCTTCGGAAACGTCACCCGGGTATATTACCTTCTCCTTCTAACTCGCTGAGATAGAAAGAGAAGGGAGTATACTCGTGTACACTCGGGTGACGTTTCCAAACGCAGCACTATATGTGACTATAATGGGTCTGTTTTCTATAGCTGAACTGCAGGCTGCACTAGTTCAGAGTTTATCTTTTTTACTCAACATTGGAAGGAAAAAGATAAACTCTGAACTAGTGCACTCAGTTCAGCAATAGAAAACAGATCAATTATTGAGATAAATATATGATAATTAAATTACAGTGCTCCTCTCGAACCAACGTAACGCAAAGTGACAATTAACAATGGCTGATGATTGTCAAGAATTAGCAGTATAGGATAGCTTGCGAATAATAGTATCGGCGGATGCTAGGTAAAATTTAAAATTAATCAAATTAATTTTTTAAAATCAATTTTATTGAATTAAATTTAAAATTGAATTTAAATAATCGATGCAGTCGATCATATTGTCATTTATTAATTATAAGTTAATATCAACAAATAAATGTTTACAAAGGGGAGTTTCTCCTGCCTGAAATTATCCTTGCCTAATTGCCATTCTGCGTGCAAGAATATATAAAGTGATGATTTTTTGTGTTAGCTATCAATGTACAAGTAATTAATATTTTGACGTTTCTTAAACGTTAGACGCGACTAATTTAAAGCTGCTTCTCTGCCTTGATCTGAATTGTCCTTGGATTTTTTATAGATCCTCAAATTGTTCCGGTGAAGGCAATGCGGCTTACTCGCGCGTGAAGTGCGTTTCCGCGGGTACCGGCTGAAAGCTGAAAGATGATCGCTTGCGTATTCTCTGCCGCACAAAAATCGGTGGTTAAGCACTTTCGAGCTGACGCATTGCTTAAACATTTTGATCGTTGCCACGCAGTATGGCACGTGTTAGCTGTCTTCGTCCTGCTCATTTTCGATCGACGCGAGCGAATAGAGCATAGAAGCGATCGCAAACGATCCTCATTATTGGCGTCTCACCGAATAATATTACGCGCCTCCGGACCGGCGCGGCGACGGCGGCGAGCATTAGAATTTTGGACCTGGAAGGAAGGCAGACAGAAAAGAAGAGTGACAGGGAAAGAGAGAGAGAGAGAGAGAGAGAGAGAGAAAAAGGAAGAAAGGGAGAGAGAGAGAAAGAGAGAGAAATCTTGATAAATGGGAAAACGCGCCGTTTAAAAGGGCCGCTTATCGGCACCGCTGATCTCTCGGTAGAGATCGTTTCTTCGTCTCGCTACACGTTTGAATAATTAATTTGTTCTCGTGTGCATCGGATATGTTAAGCGTTACACCACATCTCACATTACCTCGGCTGACCGCACGGTGTGTTTACGCTTACCCAGAATGTTTAAGATAACGGCCAGTAACCCGACACAGATTTTTAAATTACAAAAACGGATTTCCGACCGTCTATATCCCTCGATCCGTCAGAGACATTTTACTCTCAATTCGAGAATGCTCGCAGGTCAATTTTCTCTTCTACTTACATTTTTATCCGATAGAAAAAGGAATGTACCAGTTTGATGAAAAAATGAAGCTGACGATCCTTTATAGAAATGCAGAGCAACGAAAAATATAACACGAAGTATTTACTCTTGTTCTAAAGCAGAGGCATGAAACGCAAAAGTGCAGTCTCGTATGAGTAATCGCATATAATTTACATGTTGAATCGCTTGCAATTCCGTTAGGACAAGATCTGATTAATAATTTATACATACGCTTCTTGCTTCAGGTTTTTCCATTAAAGCTTTTACCTCTGTCTTTGGATGCATTAGTGACCAGTGCTTTTTTTATACGACCCGATGCCCCGACTCATATTTCGCTTCGATGAACAAGCGCAATCTTCCGTTGCATTCATACGATACCCTTTGGATGATGTTTGAAAAACGAAGCTGAATTTTGCGACGTAAGGATTTTGGAGGTCGGAACTTAAGGAGGGACTGAGAGGAGAGCTTCAGTAGGCTTGTTCGTTTTAGCCGAACTTCTTGCACAGTTCATCTTTTCTCCTTTTCTCTTCAACATGAAAAAAGAAAAAGAGAAAGATGAATCGTGCAATAAGTTCAGCTAAAACGAACAGGTCTATTGACGTCGATCGCCGTTCGATAGCGTTCAATGACAAAATAACGAGAGACGAACCGGAAGGAGAGGAATAGTCTTTTTTCTGCCGGGACAAGAAGAGGAGCACGTTCGTCTTGGCAACATGATCGTGTATGACGGCGGGAAAACATCAGAATATAAATGCGAATCCTTGCGACATTCTCTCTGCTGGAATCGATATGCTAAACGGATGAACGAACGGACGAACGGATACATCGGCGAGCTGGTGGCATCGCGATCGATATACGGTCTCGATAAAGGGAGGCACACCGGCCGGTCAGTCGAGACGAAGAGGACGATGAAGGAGTAAGGAAGAAGGAGGTGGAGAAGGTGGAGAAGAAGAGGAGTCGCGGCGGTTTTAGATCCGGTGATATAGGTGGCACGATATATAAGCTGCTCGTTCGCTTGTCCGCGTCTCCGTGGCCGGGCATACATAATCGGGTAACCGTTTACGTGACGCGACGCGGGACCGAGTCGATCGGCGACGAGCGACAGGGCAACTTGGGAAAAAAACACGGCATTTTGATAGAAACGATCGGCAGGGTACGGTCGGCATATATAAGCCGTAGATGGACCTCACGTGTGTTTCAGTTGCCCGAAAACCCTTACAAGTTCCGGACGGTCTCTCCTTTTCCGAGCTAGAGCGCCTTTTCTAGTAGCAAGCCCTTATTTTACCTTCTTTTCTTTTCCTTCCTGCCCTACTTGCGACGCGCGTTCTCCGTTCCTCTTTCTGTCGTATCCCCCGGGTTTGCCCCCGTTCTCCAATCTTCTACAACCGGCCCGTCCCTTAGCCCTTCGGCTATAGGTCTTGCATACGCATCGCTGATGCACACACACGTGCGTTTACATACTAACTAAAATATACCGAACGTTTATCATCGCGCTCTCCTCCCGATCTCTCTCTCTCTCTCTCTCTCTTTCCTTCTCGTCCTCTCGTTCGCCACACACTGTCGCCCTTGTCCTTGTCCTGTCCCTTCTCGTCAGGAGTCCTCCTTGCCCTTTTTTGTCCGGGCTACCGGCGAACGCGCGCGTCGTCTTCTTCGCCCAGTAGTTTCCTCGCTCTCTCCCATCCTTCACCCTCTTCCAACCCGTCTAACTCTTTTTCTTCCCGTCTTTCTAACTCCCGTCCTCGTCGTCGTTTCTGGCCGTTTTGCTTTTGCACATTCTTGTTTATCTCTCCTGCAACGAGAGCGCGCGATCACTCCTGTATACATTGCATTCTCACTGTGCAATTGAACGGAGCGAGGACTCGCGAGGACACGTGTCTATTGGCACGTCGAAATAAGGAAGCTGAAGGAAAATCGAGAGAACGGGATAAGAGTGACAATGTTGGAATTGGTCATCTGGATCACAGTCATCTGGTCGCTGGTCCTTCTAATCTACTTTGCGTATTTCTTCAAGTTCAACTGGGTGAAAGTGAGTGTCGACCAAGTGGATTTATCCGATTCTGTGTTTTCCCTGCAAAGTGTTCTAAGATTATAAATTGGTATTTGTTAAAGGATTTGAGAAGTGAGAGTAAAACGCGGCAGACCGGCAGCGTTTATACGGCTAGCAAAAATCGGAAGGTGGGTAAACTACCGCCAGTCTATCCGAACGGATGGTTCGCCCTACTCGAGAGCTCGGAGATAAAAAGAGGTCAGGTGAAACACGTGTCTGCTCTCGGTGAAAATTTCGCGGTGTTCAGGTACGTTAGGGTGCGGAATTTCCTTCGAATTAAAGTTTCCCTCACTTCTTTCATACATTTTAAGATATACCTTGGAACTTTTGGGATAAGACACCCTGTATATTTATCACATAACGTTTTACGAATTTCTTAAAGAACCGAAAGAGGCGTAGTCAACATTTTAGACGCGTATTGCCCGCATTTAGGGGCAAATATGGCAGAGGGTGGCCGTGTCAAGGGAGATTGCCTGGAGTGTCCCTTTCATAGCTGGAAGTTTCGCGGAGAGGATGGCTACTGCGAGAGCATACCTTATACTGAAAAGGGTATTAATCAAGTTCTACATAATATCGTTTCAGGCGATATCTATTTACCCTTTTTTTCCCATAGTTTCTGTATGCTATATCGGCTAAGATGTTCGGACTGGATGTTTTTTACACCCTCGAACCACATTCCTGCATCGAAATACCTGTTTACGCATTTTAACATACAAATATTTGCGTATAATTTCGGGCGCGCTTGGTAGATCGTCTTGATATACATCGCTTGCTGGCCTAGTTATTCGCAATTCTTATACTTGCTTCTATATTATTTATATATACTCTTGCCGAATATTCTTTAAATATTATGCCATGATGTTCTATAGTTTTCTTCATTTCGTACATAATATATAAATTTGACAAGAAACAATTAAATTAGTCGTACGAACTGCGAGTCGATATGGATCATAAAAAATATTCATAATTAAAAAACGTCAGTTACGTTATATGAACTTATATGAACTGTCTTTTGAATCTATTTTCAAAGCGAGTCCTATGATTAACGAAACACTCTGTTTAACGTAAATAGCTTTGCTTTAATTTATCTATGTAATAATTGTAATACAATAATATATATTTAATTATGAAAGAATATATTTATATCACTTAATCATGAAATTCGAAAAGCTATAGAAATTATCTATCGATGCATTTATTATTCCTCTATTTAGTCGTTTGCTTTTTTTGCACAGTGCCACACATCGCTCGAGCAAAAGTCTGGAAGTCCTGCGAAGTAAATCACCACATCTTCGTCTGGTATCACTCCGAATCAGTTGAGCCTGACTGGCAACCCCAGCCGCACACATTCATTTCCAACGGGACATGGCGCTACCAAGGTCGTAATGAGTTCCTCATTAACTGCCACATACAGGTTTGTCGCGCATTCAATTCTCTGATATAATAGATGTGTACACTTTATCATGCAAAAGCCACTCGTAGAAACTAAGAAAGAAAGAAAACAGTTATAGTTCATAAGACGTTACAAAACATAGGTGAATTAAATTAATCATTAGTGTTTATTCACTCGAGAGTGCTGTCAAGAATCACTCTCCAGAATCATGGACTGGAGAAAAAAATATTAGAGAAAGATTGAGAGAGAGAGACTTACTCTCTTTTACTTCACTCCTTCTTTATTTTATTCTTTTATTCTTTTTCCTCGGAAGTTCTTTCAAATGGACAGTAAACTTAATACTTGTTGATCTGTGCATTAGGATATAGCTGAGAACGGGGCTGATCCTGCGCATCTGGACGCGGTACACGGCCCGGGTATATTCCTCTCCGGCAACTTGTCCTGGCTGGCTCGACATTTGTGGATCACTAACAGGGGATGGCAGCCGCACTGTTCGTATGACAACCAGACAGACGAGGACGCAAACGCGGACGCAGAAACAGCGAAGATGCGTGTCAACTTGAACGGTGCGTCGATCCATCGGATCGAGAGCGGCAACGGGGATCGTCATCTCGCAGTCGCGGAGAACGGCTTCGGCAGAAGGGAGAAGCACAAAGCCGGCCTGCACATGTGCCACAAGTTGATCCTGCTGGAGCGCTTCAACGTGATGGAGATCAACGTGGTCATCGAGCAGATCGGGCCTAGTTACGTCGAGCTGATGATTGACACGTCGTTTGGACCTATGTGCATCCTGCAGACAGTAACGCCGATCGAGCCGCTGCTGCAACGGGTGACCCATCAGATCTTTTCGCCGCCCCTGTTGGCGCCGTACGCCAATCTGGTCTTTCTGGGTGAGTGCGTGATGTTCCAGCGCGACATCATGATCTGGAACTACAAGAAATATGAGCGGCAACCGATCCTGGTGCGCGAGGACCGTGCCATTCTCGCATACCGCCGTTGGTACTCGCAGTTCTACTCTGATCACAGTCCCACTTATCAGACGGCTATGAAGGACCTGGAGTGGTAGCGATACCTCCCTTTTGAAATTTAACTTGTATACTTTCTGTTATATTTCTAGGTATCATTTTTATTATTAAAGCAGGTAACTTGTGTATAATGTTAATTAAAAAAAAAACGCGTTTGAGAGAGAGATCTTGTTAATTGTAGTATAAATAATTGTTGATCTAAAACAAGATTAAATCTTTATCAGTGTGTCGATATAGTTTTTACTATCGCTTTATATGTTGAATGTAACTGTATTTTAATCGTTGTTACATAAATTGTCGCTCATTGTGTACAAAATGGTGATGAGTCTAATTTTTATATTATATTTAAAATTTAAAAATATAAATTATGAAAACTAAATGTAATGCAGTATTGTTCTATAAAAACTCTTGTTGTATCTATGTGTTCTATAGTATAGAAATTTCAATTGACGTATTCAATGACATTATCTTTTACGCGTTTCTATCAGTTTAATTAGTGAGCTACTTTACGAAGAAAAATGTTTTAATTAAAGTTCACAACAAATCGCAGTTATCGTTACATATAACGCAATAACTTTATCGTATCATCGTCGAAAGGTATCATCGTTAGATAATAACACTTCAGATATTTTATATAGTTGCTTGACATACGCGCAAATTATTTTCATGTTAAATATCTTTTAATAACAAATGGCGAATAATACGCGCGGGATCATAGCTAGCTGCTAGCCTGTTTACGACAAATGCGAAATTTATATTGTATACATATCGTAACGAATTAATAATTAATTAGTTCCCGGTATTAATGTTCGGTAAAATGTTCACAAATCGAGGCGACACTATGCAAGCAATTTGTGCATTTAAAATATGAATCAAAAAGCTAAAAGATAATTAATATTGTCCTTAATTAAGATTTTATATCAAGTATATTTCTCGCGTTTTTTGAATTTAACTTGCCGGCCGTTTCCGGAATCGACGAATAATTCAAACGAAAACTGGAAGACCGTATATCGATACGCAGTTTAATAATAATTCGATAATAATACATACACCTCGCGTGGGATTTATGCAAAAGTAATTCGCAAATATATCGCACAATTACACAATATCAAATCGCGACTTCCTATTAATTAGCCATTACATCGACTTACGTTGTCACGCGGGAGATTAAACGGATTAACGTGAAGTTGGCCGCGTGACGCGTGACTTCACAATTGTTCCTGTCGCTGTCGCGTCCGCGTCGCGCAGGATTCGTTCGGGAATCGGGACGTGTGACGCGTGGGACGCTTTAATTTTTGTCGAACGGTTCGTTGCTTCCTGCGATCCATCTTCCTTGCGTCATCTTCAGCTGCGACAACACGATTGTCATTCTGGCGAATAATAAGTACGAGGTCGAGTGCGTTTGTGCGAGTGCCGTCAAAGATCAACACGGATGGGACATGGGACTTTGAGAGCAGGAGGAGGAAGAGAAGGATGAGGAGCAGAGAAAGCAGATCTGGGAGGCATCGAGTGATGATGGAGCACCGATGGGTAAGTGATTTATTCGCTATTTTTTTATGTATTTCTTAACCTTGAAATTGATTCGAAGCGCAAATGGCACGCGCCTCAGTTTTGTAACACAGCGTGCGAAAAATGCATGTGTGTATCTTTTATTATTTTAAAATATTTAAAATAATATTTACAAAATGATTTCCGTATTTGGACGTGCAATTTTTCATATTTTTCTCGGTCTTTAGAATATGTTGCATTCTAAAGTATAGATATTATGATAGTGATGAGATACCTGCATGTGCAATTTTTAATTAAGTAATTGACAATTAGTCGTAGCTCAGACTTGATTTATTATGAATATATTTCTAACAATTAAACAATTCAAAAAAATGTTAGATTCAGAAATTTATAGATCTTATTACAATAACGTAATTCATACAAAAAAACGTTCTATAAAGAATTGCAAGATTTCAAGTATTTTATCTGTTTATTCTTATATAAAGACAAAGTAAAGATGCCTATATTCTGACTTTCTTACTATATTGAAAACTATATAATCACATTTATATAAAACACATTTTATAAAGAATAATATAATTTCAAATATTCTAATCTCTTATTTTTGTATAAATATACAAAGAAACTAAACATTATAGTTAAATTTTACTTATTTTTTTGCTAAATTAAGAGCTTATAATATTTGCATAAGAAATTGCATTACAAACAAACATTATAATTACAAGTATTTTTTCCATTTCTGTATTAAAAAAGTAACAATCATGAAAGCTGATAAAATTTGAAGAGAATTTTATTTTTTGTAAAGACAGAAATTTTTTCTTCGTACATAAGGAAATCATTCATAAGTTTCTAAGCTGAAAGCTCGGAAAAAATTTGAAAGAAAATATTCGTGTTTAAAGATGCCGAAAATAAATCCACAGACCACCTTTTGGTGTTGATAAAATGGCTCCAGGAATCATCTTTAAAGGTATTTGCGTCCTCGGGGATAGTTCCATGCTATATTTTCTCAGAATTATAGCCAGACCTGCCTTCATCTGTAGCTGAGCCATTCTCATCCCCACGCAAAATCGCGGACCTTCGCTAAAGGGAAGAAAGGCGAATGTCTCGATGCTGCGTTTTCTGTCCGGGTTGAATCTTTCAGGATTGTACTCATCAGGATTTTCCCAGTATTGCGGATCGTTTTGCAAAGCTTGAACCGGTATCAGGACCTCCGTTCCGGTTTGCACGCGACAGACAACTCCATCCGAGCCTTTCAATTCGGTTTCCTGCGTGCATCGTTTCTTCATAAGTACTCCTGCAGGTACTATTCTCATCGATTCGTTGAAAACTTGGTCCATGTATGTCATCTCCTTTAAACCTTCATAAGTGATTTCACCGTCGTATCTGTCAAGCACGGTCACCACCTCTTCGCGTAATTTCTCCTGTATTTTAGGATGACTGGCCAGATGGAAGCCGATGAAACTCATAACAGTGGAGGTCTCGTAGCCACCGATGAAGAACGACATCGCTTGTCCCGTGAGCATTTCAGTGTCGAATTTATCGCCCTCCGCCCGTTCCCGTTCGGCCATTAAATGGAGAAAATCAGCCCTGGGTATTCCATCCCTTCTCCTTTGCTCCATGAGATCTGCAACCAACGTCCTGAAGAAATGTTCGACGCGCTTTGAAATGACTCTCATTTTAATGATTTTGTTTAACGATGGAATAAGGAACACGAGAGCGAACATAATTTTATTTCGTGTGGACGGTTCAAAAATAGATTCTCCGATTTCTCGGAAAGACATCTCTTTTTTCTCGTCATCGAAGCAGTGTCCATCTACGCCGAAACCAGCGGCGGCTACTACTTGAGCGGTGTATCTGGAGAACAAGGATTTTAGTTCAAACTCCGTCTTCGTGACGTTGCTCAGCTTTCCATCGATATATTTCTCTAACGTCGCGCACACCTGTTTGACGCTTTTTAGCAGGATCTTCAGTCGCGTATTGGAAAATGCCCAGGTCAAGCGTTTTCTGCTGTTTTGCCACTTCTCGCCGGAAAGAACGAAGGGATGATATGACGCGAGCGGATCCACTTCATAGTCAATATTGATGGTGTTCTCAAAGAAACTGGAGAAATTAGTTTTCAGCACCGTTTTCACTAACTCCGGCTCGATAATCATCAACGACGGCGACGTAAGCTGGTAAATCCCGATCATGCTGCGACCCTTGTTATTTTTGTAGATATTGTAACAGAAATCGCCGAGGTTTGTCTTCATGCAGATTACCGACAGCATGTGTCCGAACCCCGGCAAGGGTCCATCCATGCACGGAACACCACGGTTTTGCCAGTATTTGTAATTTCGCGTCAAGTAGAAATAGAGGGCTATAAGCGCTCCGAGAATTAAAGACACCAGCACAACGGTCATATTGCTTCTCTCGGATGACAAGTGACTTGGGCTGTGTTCAAATATATATATATGTACACTGCCAGAACTAGCATTGTTTTTTTCTTGTTTTCTAGAAATGCAAGCTGGTTCTGATGTAAACTGGAAAAAAACAATAGCTCGGTTGTTTTTATATTTGAAATAATAATATAAATAATAACAATGATGATTAATGATAATAATAACAACAGTAGCCTCAGTGATACTTTATTGACGCCGCGCGCCGTGATTATCATTCTGATAGGAAGTTTGCGAGTTGTAATAAAATATATACCTCGCTTGAACAAGCAATAACGTAAACATTGCGCAACTAAATTCCAGAACAATTTTCTCTATCCTTATATTATCATCAAAATAATTTTACTACCTCATTTTAAGACAATGACTACGTTTACCCGGCTCGATTTACGCCGAAGTTATAACATCGATGTTATAACTTCGGCATAAATCAGGCCGTGTAAAAAATAATTGAAAATTATTTTAATCCGTTTAACAGTTTAACATATATTTCTTATATTCTTTTTTCAATGATTATAAAAAATTAATTTATTCTGATAGATTTGAAAAAT